AGACTCACAGGAAGTTGAAAAAACTGTAGAGGGCTGCTGACTCTTCATCCAGCTTCCCCAAATGACGGCATATAGTCACTGTAGGACAAAATCAAACCCAGGGCATTGACATTGGTACAATACTGTTACCAGACCACTCCAATATCTTAAGAACATTTTTTTTTCTTTTACAAAATTATGGACGTAATTCCCATAAGCCTTTATTTATTTATTTATTTTTTTCGGTAGAGTAGGAAAGGCTAGATTATAGATTTTATGGTAATGATGGTCTCTCCTATTTTTTATATAAAATTCTATGGCCTTAGATAAAAATTCTCTTACTATATATTATGTTAACAGAAGACCTTCAGATGTTAATCTGTGATAAAACAAAACTAAACCAGAGGAAGATACACACTAAATCAAAAACTTGGCAAAAGAAAAGACACTCATTGAACCTCTACTAGATACCAAGGACTTTGCCAAACCCAAGAATCAAGTGATGTAAACACACAGTCTTTTTCTCAAAGGGTTTACAAACTGGGAGTAGGCATCTGAAACAGAGATGTGAGTGAGGAAAATGAATCACAAAGGCCTCTTATCACTGAGACCTGGGAACAAGTAGCTACTTTGTGTGTGAAGGAACGGAGCGAAATACATTTTGGCCTAAATTCAGAACTTGATTCTGGCAAAGCAAACAGAAGGGCTGTCATTGTTTAGAGGTGGACACAGGTGGATAATCCTACAACTAGAAGGGAACTAGGAAAGTAAGAGAGGAACTCAAGCAAAGAGTACACATTAGGACCCATCTGTGTTTAGTTAGTACCCTGAGGGCCGCACTTCTGAGCACCTTCTGGTCTGATGTCACTTCTAAACCAGAAGAATAAATCGTCTTCCTTCTAAAAGAGTTCCTCATCTCCATCAATGTCACAGCATTTTTTAAGCCAATTTTTATCACACTTCTACCTTTCTCATATACACTATGGATGTTTCTCTGTTCTCACCAGCCCAATTCAGAGCCTCGTTACCCTCACTGTTTTGTTTTTTAAATAAAAATATGTGTTTAGCTTCTCTGATTTGAGGCCTGCATCAGTTTCCTGAGGCTACTATAACCAATCACCACAAATCTGGTGATTGAACATTAGAGAAAACACTATGGGGAGGGTCATCAAAAAGTTAAAAATAGAACTGCCATATGGTTCAGCAATCCCACTTCTGGGTATGTGTCTGAAGAAAATGAGATCAGCACTCCTGTGTTGACTGCAGAATTAGTCACAATGGTCAAGACACAGAATCCCACTTGTCCACCAATAGATGAATGGATGAAAAAATGTCATGTATATAAATATATATAATGGAATAGTATTCAGCTATAAAACAGAAGGTAATCTTGCCATTTGTGACAAGATGGATGAACTGGAGGACACTATGCAAAGTGGAATAAGCCGGACAGAGAAAAACAAATTTTTTGGTGGGGATTTTAGTAACATATATATTTATTTATATAAAGTCCTGTTTTTTACAACCAAGACAATTTTACTTCTTCCTTTCCAATTTTATTTCTTTTTCTTGCCTGGTTGCTCTGGCTAGGACTTCAGTAGTATGTTGAATAGGAATGGTAAAAGTTGACCCTTAACGGAATTCCTGATCTTAGAGGAGAAACTTTCAATCTTTCACCATTGAGTATGATGTTAGCTGTGGGCTTATCATTCATAGCCTTTATTATATTCCTCTATACTCAATTTGTAGAGAATTTTTATCAAGAAAATATGTTGTATTTTGTCAAATGTTTTTTTCTTCATGTATTAAGAGGATATGTGATTTTTATCCCTCATTCTATTAATGTGGTGCACCACATTTATTCATTTGCCTATGTTGAAACATTCTTGCATCCCAGGGATAAATCCTGCTTGATCATGGTGTGTGATTCTTATAATGTGCTTTTGAATTCATTTTGCTAGTATTTTATTGATAAATTTTACATCTATATTTATTAGGGATATTGGTCTATAGTTTCTTCTTGTAGTGTGCCTTTTCATTTATCCACCCATCCATTCATTCATTCAATTTTATTTCTTAATTCCAGTATAATTAATGTTCAGTGTTATATTAGTTTCAGACGTCTTATAGTATTCTTTTTAAAAAAGATTTTATTAGTCAGAAAGAGAGAGAGAGGGAGCGAGCACAAGCAGGGAGAGAGTCAGGCAGGGGGAGAAGCATATTCCCCACTGAGCAAGGATCCCGATGCGGGACTTGATCCCAAGAGTCCGTTTTCATGACCTAAGCTGAAGACAGACACTTAACCAACTGAGCCACCCAGGTGTCCGCATCTTGCAGTATTCTTACCTGGCTTTGGTATCATGGCAATGCTGGCCTGATAAAATGAGGTTTAAATTGTTTCCTTCTCTTAAATTTTTTGGAACAGTTTGAGAAGGAATAGCACTAATTCTTCTTTAATATAGAGTTCACCAGGGACACCTGGGTGGCTCAGTGGGTTAAAGCCTCTGCTTTCGGCTCAGGTCTTGGTAGGGTCTTGGGATCAAGCCCCACATTGGACTCTGCTCAGCAGGGAGCCTGTTTCCCCCCCTCTCTCTGTCTGCCTCTCTGCCTACTTATGAACTCTCTCTCTCTGTCAAATAAATAAATAAAATCTTTAAAAAATATATAGAATTCACCAGTGAAACCATCTGGTCCTGGTATTTTCTTTGTTGGTTTTCAGTTAGTGATTCAATCTCCTTATATATTGGTCTATTCAGATTTCCTATTTCCACAGTTCAGTCTTGGTAGGGTGTATGTTTCTAGGAATTAATCTGTTTATTCTAGGTTATCCAATCTGTTGGCATGTAATCTCTTCCTAGTAATCTCTTACAAACCTTTGCATTTCTGTGGTATCGTAGTAATGTCTCCTCTTTTGTTTCTGATTTTATTGGAATCTTCTGTTTTTCTTAATTTGAATCAAGTTTTGTCAAGTTTGTTTGTCTTTTCAAAAAAAAAAAAACAGGGGCGCCGGGGTGGCTCAGTGGTTAAAGCCTCTGCCTTAGGCTCGGGTCATGGTCTCGGGGTCCTGGGATCGAGTCCCGCATCGGGCTCTCTGCTCAGCAGGGAGCCTGCCTCCTCCTCCTGTCTCTCTCTGCCTACTTGTGATCTGTCAAAAAAAAGCCAAAAAAACAAAAAAACCCAAAAAAACAAAAAAAACAACTCTTAGTTTCATTAATCTTTTCTATTGTTTTTCTGGTCTCTATTTCATTTCTTTGTTTCCTTCCTGTTGCAAACATTGAGCTTAGCTTGTTTTCCTTTTTCTTGTTCCTTAACATATAAAATCAGTTTATTCTAGGTCTTCCTTAATGTTAATATTTATATCCATAAATTTCCATCTTAGAACTACTTTGGCTGCATCTCATAGATTTTGGTTTGTTGTGTTTCGATTTTCATTTGTTTGCTTCTTTCAAGATATTTTTTGATTTCCACTTTTATTTCTTCTTTAATTCAATAGTTGTTGAGGAGCATAATAATTTCTACATTATTATGAATTTTCTAGCTTATTATGAATAATCCTGTTACTGATGCCAAATTTCATATTATTGTAGTTGGAAAAGATACTTGGTATGATTTCAGTCTTCTTAAATTTGCTATGACTTGTGACCAATCACATGACCTATCCTGGAGAATGTCCTGTGCGTGCTTAAGAAGAATGTATATTCAGTTGTTATTGGATGGAATGATCTCTACATATCTGTTAACTCATTTGGTTTTGAACATTTCTTTGTTGATCTTCTGTCTGCATGACCTGAGCCGAAGGCAGAGGCTTTAACCCACTGAGCCACCCAGGTGCCCCAATCTACATTTCTTTCATTATCAAGATTGTGCACTTCTTCTTCTTCTTCTTCTTTTTTCTAATGTATTTCTTCTTTGGGAATTACCTGATCATGTTCTTTGCCCATTTTTCTTTGGAGGTGATAGCATTTTTTTTTCTTTTAAAATTCTTTGGACCATAAGGGTATCAATTGTTTAGATAAATATGGCAAATACTACTACCAGATTTTGTCTTTCAATCTTGTTTGTAGTGCTTTTGGTTTTTTTTTTTTCTTTTGTGGCCACAGTATCCTTCTTTGTGTTATTTTCTTTTATCATTATGCTTGTATATATCTGCCACCAGAAGGGTTAGCTTTGGAAGAGACCAATTACTGGGGAAATGATTCATTATCAAAACAGAGAAATAGTTATTATATTTTTTAAAGTGCAGAAATATTAAAATCCTGTAAGAGCCCTTTATAAGTGCAAGGCAAAATATTTGAAGTACATCAGAGTATACACTTCACAACTTCACACCCTGAGCCTCACCCCAGCCCCTAGAATTCCGTACTGATGTGTGTGGTTGGTTTGAGAGCCATCATAATGTGAAAACACAAGAACCAGCAGGATCACGTCCACAAAGAATGAAGACTGGTGGTTCCATAGGACCCACTGTGAAAAGACGTGTACAATGGGAATTATTTACGCTATTCAACCATTCTCACAAAAATTAATGGAAGTTTTAAAAGCAGTCTTTTTATTCTTTAAATGCAGAAATAATCTTTAATATTCCAACTGGGAGATGATGTATTTACAAGCATTTTAGACAAGATGACTCTGGTCATATAAAAGTTTAGCTTTATTATAGCACTTGATGCAAATATTCAGTACTTTTTGCCACTTCTGTCATCTTTCAGCCAGGCAGTAAATTACAAATAAACAAAAATTATACAATTTATTAACAAAATGTACTTTGAATTATTCTGTAAGTTTTAGAATGCAATTAATACCAGTATTTTCATCCATTTGATGATGTTTCTTCTGGTTCCTTTAATCTTAAAGTCTGCAGACTCTGAACTTGGTGGAATGATCTTTGGTTGCGGTAGGAAATGTTAAACAAATAATTCTACAGAGTTTTTCCAGTAAGTGCTCGCTTTTTAGCTTTGATTAAATGCCATGTTTTACACAAATATTAGAAAATATTTAACAGCTGCTACTGTCACAGTTCACTAGCGCTTTGCTCCAGCCTGGACACTGACCATGGAAAAGTAGATGCCTTTCTGAGCCAGCAGCTGTTGATGCGTGCCGTGCTCCTTGACCTTGCCGTTCTGAAACACCACTATTAAGTCTGCGTTCTGGATGGTGGACAGGCGGTGCGCGATCACGATGCAGGTGCGGCCTTCTCTGGCTTTGTCCAGGGCTTCTTGGACAACCTGATCAATAACCACATAAATTAATTCTGATAAAAACAGGCCTCTCCTTTCCTTCTCCATCATAAGGGTCACGATCTTCCAACAAGAGGTCCTTCTTTAATGACCATATCCGTGAAATATCACAGAATTGATAAAGCAAGGATATCCGTGAAATATCACAGAACTGATAAAGCAAGTCATCTCAGAAGATAAGGGACTCCTAGACTGGATTAGTTCTGAGGCAAAAAACATCTATTCTAGGAGTTATGACAATAAATACGGTCTGTGCATTCATCATTTGAAAACATGTACTGGTGTGCCCACCCACACAACATCCTTCAGCGCGGCCCTCCGGTCCGTCCAGCTCTACAGCAAATCCAGGGAGACCGAGCGCAGGCTGAACACAGCCTCCTTGAATTTTGGGATTTTAGTAAAGATCGGGGATGTCTCAGAATTAATATGTCTTTCAGATACCTGAAGAGCCAACTTTTTCTCAAACTGAAAATGATTACTAATATTTATCTTAAGGTAGAGTCAGTTTTTATACTGCATTAACCTCCCACTTCTTCATACAGTTGCCGGAGAGATGCCACTGGTGGAAATGGGAAAGTGGCCCCTGAACACGGTGTCTTCGGTCAATACTAAGTGATCCAGGATTATTTTTTTGGAGCCTGGGTGCTACAAGACTAATTTCCCCTATTTTGTCTTAGGGTTCTTGAATCACAGCAGCAGAAGGTATCCACATTCTGAGGAAAGCTGATGTAAGTAACAATCAACATAGCTTGGCTGAATTTTATTCTCTACAATGGAAGACAGAAGCATTTAAAGACAATCAGATCAAGGGTAATGAATCTGATTTAAATTCGTGCCTTTTCGGGGCACCTGGGTGGCTCTGTCATTAAGTGTCAGCCTTTGCCTCAGGTCCTGATCCCAGAGTCCAGGGATCAAGCCCCACCAAGGGCTCCCTGTTCCGTGGGAAGCCTGTTCTCCCTCTCCCACTCCCTCTGCTTGTGTGCCCTCCCTCGCTGTCTGTCTCTGTCAAATAAATAAAATCTTTAAAAAATAAACAAATAAATAAATAAATGTGTACCTTTTCACTTTCTGTATCCAGAGCTGACGTAGCTTCATCCAGAAGTAAAATGTGAGGCTGCCGAACAAGGGCGCGAGCTATGGCAATGCGTTGCTTCTGGCCCCCAGAGAGCTGGGTTCCTTTGTCTCCTACTCTGGTGTTGTATTTCTGTGAAGAGGATTTTGTTATTAGGAGACACAGAACTAACAATCCTAAAAAAGAGTTTGTCCACAGAAAATAGGATAACAGCTTCCATAAACACACAAAAATGTTTCGGTTCAGAAGCTAAGAATGGACTCACAGAGGATTATACACCAAAAATGTAGCTCTCAATGGCAGATTTGATCTCTCGTCTTGAAAATAGACATTTGGGGGACACCTGGGTGGCTCAGTGGGTTAAGCCTCTGCCTTCGGCTCAGTTATGATCCTGGGGTCCTGGGATGGAGCCCTGCCCCAAACAACCTGTTCAGGGGGGAGTCTGCTTCTTCCTCTCCCTCTGCTCCTGCTCCTGCTCTCACATGTGCTGTCTTTCTCTTTCTCTCTCTCTCTCAAATAAATAAAAATCTTTAAAAACAATTAAAGAAAAAGAAAATAGACATTTAGGTCTGAGAAGCTATGTTTTAGTGTAAACAAGTCAATATCTTTATGACAAAGAATACTGTTACAATGTTAGTCTCTTCCAGTCTTCTGGTTTCGTTATATTTGGGACAAAATTTGGTTCAAGGAAGGAAATCTAACTTAAAATGGGCTATGCAATAAATGAAACTCATTTTACTTACAACCAGCAGGTGGTGCTCTCTGCACTGAAGTCAGGAAGGGAAGCCATTTCTTGGGATGCTAGCTAACCTTCCAGTATCTGTTTTTATAAATCTCAAAACACTTCAAAAATCTTAATGGATGCTAAGGAATTCCATCTTGATATCTAACCTTAAAGTTAACCTAAATCTCCTGGTTTAATTTTTGTGACTTTAGAGTTCTTCCAAAGTTCTTCACATATTGTGTCCCACAGTAGATAACTGTCATTAACTACTCAATAGAATGATAGGGACAGGAGTTAAAAGGACATGTAGGAGAGAGCAGGAACAAGATGTGACAGCGGTTTGAGGCTACTGAGCTTTATTTTTGAGGGGTGCTTCCTTATGATAAAGAAATTAGTGATAATGGGAGACGGTACAGACAAGCCAGGTCAAGGTGACTTCAAAATGCAGTACCTAACCTAAGGGGCTTAAGAAAGGGCAAGAGATTCCTTTTATGTAACTTCCCAGGAAGAATTCAGAGGACATCCATTGACAACAGTTCAGGGAGCCCCATGGAAGATTTCAAGAATCCGCCCTCTAAGCAGAGCCTGGGGACCATGAAATGTGCAATGATGAGAGATTATATAGTAACACAGTCACACCAAGGGCTCAGCTCTATTCAGGGAGAGCCTCTTTCTGACCTGGGTTCAGTTCCCCAGCCTGGCCTAACTCCTCAGAGGTAGGTTTGCAGCTTGGGGGAGAACAGCAAGGAGGCAGAAGGAAGGTCGGGAAAGAAATGGGGGCAGAGGGGCTGTTTCTGCTTCTGTGGGTGCTGTACTGAGTGAGACTCAGAGGGAAAGGCTTCCTCCATATATGTCCTTCTCGGTCAGGCTTGCTCACCAGGGAAGCCAGCCGGGTGAACAGGCAAACACAGTATCAAATGGGGATAGGAAGTGTGGCAAGACGTTGTACACAGGTGTGTATTTTGGTTGCTCCCTTCTCTTCACCTTTGGAAAACCAGCCCTTTAGAAATCCAAGTGCAGGCCAGGGAGGCTGCCATAGGCTCCTATTTTGGAGAAAGACTTACATCAGGGAGTGTCTCAATGAAGGGGTGTATGTTGGCCTCCTTGGCTGCCTGCACAATCTCTTCCTGTGACACGACCCGGCTGTTGTCTCCGTAGGCGATGTTCTCCGCAATGCTGCAGTCGAACAGGATGGGCTCCTGGGACACAATGCCCAGGTGGGCTCGGAGCCATTGGACATTCAGGTTCTTTATCTCCTCACCGTCAATCAGCTGAAAATGAGAGTTCATAGGTAACTTCAGGACCGGCACATTTTTAATTTAGCAAAATTGGTATCCTTAATCTCACACACTAAAATTGCGAAATTACTGTGGGACATTTTTGTTGTTGTTGAGTTTGGACTGTCAAAGTTAACTGAACTAGGTCATAGTTTTACACTCTGATGAACTGTCACGTTCCTTCTGTTTGAACCCTGGGTTCCCATATGCATGTGATAAGCAGGATAAACCCCCCACTCCCAAGATACCCATAGTCTTATCCACAAAACTTCTGAATGTTACATCCCATGGCAAAGGGAATTAAGGTACAAGGTTGCTCATCAGCTGATCTCAAAATAAGAAGATGATCTTGGATGATCCAGGTGGGCCCAATGTAATCATGAGAGCCCTTCACTATTCAAGAGGGAGACAGGACAGTATCAGAGTGGGGCAATAAGACCAAGACTCAATTAGTCATTGTTGGCTTTGAAGACTGAGGGAGGGGCCAGGAGCTAGAAGAAGAAAAGGGTCCCCGAGAGCCTGCAGAAGGAACGCCATCCCGGTGACACTTTGATGTTAGCTTGCCGAAATCCATTCTAGACATCTGCTTCCAGAATTTGCAAGATACTAAGTTTATGCTGTTTTATACCACAAAATTTGTCGGCACCCTTATTCTTACGTATCAGTTTTTCATAAGAAAAGTAGCAAAGATTAGACTGGAAATCAGTAACTACTGTGAGCACACAATAGGTTTGCAGGTCAGGCTTCTCAGAATCAGGTTTTGGAAGAGCGGGGTGCAACAGTTAAACGGAAAAGAAGTGTGGGAAGGTGGCTGCTGGATCTCTAAGTAGTTGTTGATCTTGAAAAAAATGAATTAATGTCTCTGAGCGTTTCTTTGTGGGTAAAATGGGAATTATGATAATAATTCCTAAACTCCTAGAACTAGGTACTGCATGAGATCCTGCCTAGACCCCACCCAGCAGTGCTGGTCACTGGGTATGTGTCCCAAGACTGTCAGAGACTGGTAACTCCATGTCACTATAATTGAAACTACAGTGGAGGGACGAAGGCTGGGCGGACGAAATGATAGCAGACATCTACCGTGTTGGGCCAAAGGAGTGGGAAGCGGAAGCTGTCTCTTCTCTGGTGACCTGGCTTCCTGGGTTACCCTGCAGGAGCCTGAGGAGTGCTCCTTCCAGCCTTGCTCAGATGCACATATGTCTGCACCAAAGATTGACTTTGCAAGAGAACTCTGGTATTTAAGTGAGATAGCTAGTCATTCCCTCTGGAGAAGCAAGTGACTCAGCTTCCTGTAGTGCTAGTGAGGGTCTACCATGCTATATACACCCTCTGGATCTCATATGCCTGACTGGGTGCCCCTGGGAAATAGCTGGCAGGTACAATCTCTGCTGCAGGAAAATGGCTTCTGTTTGTGAAGCTGGCAAGTGTAGGGATAGGAAACACAGTCATGACCTTCTTAGTACCCAGCCCAGTTGCCATGGAGACTATTTCAGCTTCTATGTTCTAGGCTTCCTCACAGTGTTAAGTGAAGTGGGAAGTAGAGGGTAGAGAGAGGCAGTAAAAACCATACAAGAATGTGGCACAACAGCAGATCTTGTGAGATGGAACACTGTACTTGAGAAATGGAAATTTCAGGAAAGGAGTAGCTTAATTTTCTCCAAGCTTATGCTGCTGGCAGGAAAACAGACACTGCCTAACTAATATCATTAGGCAAATTTCAATGATCCCACCAAATTTTAATGAGTTTCTTTATCACGCTGAATACAGTAACACTGTTGGTCCTCCTCAGCCCCACATGATACACTGGAATTGAAAATTCTTAAAGCCTGTGTTAACTGAAGCATCCTTTCTGTGGAGAAAACATGTTTAGAAGCCCAGAGGTAAGAGACCAATGCAGAGGCTCTTTGGCTGAGGCACAGGTGATGGTCTCAGGGAAGACCAAGGAACTTTGGGGGATCGGGAAACACTATTCAAGAGACACTGACCTAAATAAAACTTAACCAGGAAATTCAACGCCTTGGTAATAATAAGGTAAAACCAGGTTAAATTACTATCTTGTTTTAGATTGCTAAATGTAGTGCTGTCTTCATTAGCATAATCAAAAGGTAAATACGTAGTATTCTGCCATATGTACTCTGAAATCATGATTACAGATATAAATTATTGAGCACTGACTGGATTATAGGTCCTGTGATAAGCCTGACTCAGGCATTCTCTTTTTTAATCTTCACAACACCCCTAGTAAGATAGCTGTGTTTTGTGGGGTTTTTTTTTAAAGATTTATTTATTTTGGAAAGAGAAAGTGAGTATGTGGTGAGTGGGGGGAGGTGCATGAGAGAAAAACCCAAGTGGACTCCATGCTGAGTGACCCGGGGTAGGGGGACAGCGGAGGGCGGGGCTCTATCTCACCACCCCTGAGATCCTGACCTGAGCCAAAACCAAGAGTCAGACACACAATTGACCGAGCCACCTAGGTGCTCCTGGGGTAGGTGTGGTTTTAATCTCCATTTTACAGATTTAAAAAATGAGCAAAGTTAAGTGACTTACACAAGATCACACAGTAACTACGGAACCTGGGGTTGAATTTTTATACTTTAAGTTGGGTTTTGGTAACTCAAGTGCCTTATAATTGAAAGATGATCTCTGCCCTCCATCACAGAGGAAAGCCCCCATGTTAGCTCAGGTGCCCACCCAGTAATACCCAGACTATGACAACAGGCTTCTGATGATTGTGGGTGTGCTAGACCAGAGAGGGGAGACAGGAAAGGTCGGGGAAGACTAAGAGCAGAGGCGATTTAACAGTGAAGGTAACGAAGTTCAGCTTCTAGAGTCCCGAATTGCAGGTAATTGCTGGGGACTGAACTGTGTTCGGGGCGGGAGGGAGGCCAGGCTGCAGTTAGGAAACTCTTCCGGGTGAGTATTTACGTATCGGCCTATAGAGGAAAGGGACCTGAGCGGCACCTGGGGGGGCTCCGTCGGTGAGGCGTCTGCCCTCTGTTCAGGTCATGATCCTGGGGTCCTGGGATGGAGCCCCAAGCACCCCCAATGCTCAGCACCAAGTCTGCTTCTCCCTCTCCTACTCCTCGAACTCGTGCTCTCTCTTGTGCACATGGTCTCTCTCACTCAAATAAATAAATGAGAAAAAGGATTTGAATCTTTAAGCTTTCACTATTTTGTTGTGATTTGTTTTATTAGAATATTCACTTTTGTACCTAATCTTGCATTCATAATTTTGTATTTTTCTTAGGTAGAGTCCCTAAAAACGTACAACCTGCCGGCCCCACAAAACTTGGAATGCCCCCGGTGTACAACTCAGTAGCTTCATTTTTAAAGACTCTCCACAGGTTAACCTACACCTTTCAAATTTATCAGTTCAGTGGTTCTCAGATGATGGCTGCCATCAGAATCATCTGGGGAAATTGTAAAAATTAATAGGCCAGATCCTGACGGAATGGAATGAGCCAGGCTGGCTGCGTTCTTCAGTTGTTCTGAGAACCACAGCTCCAGTTACCATGACTCAAAGTATCATTCAAGGCCCACCGACGGTCATGAGGACTTCCGGACCTCATGGTCACGTCCTTCTTCAGTTCTTATGAGCAATCATGCCCAGATCCATGTTCATGTTTACACGGCAAGGAGAACTAACTACTAGTCACCTACAGATTGGGTTATTAAGGGTTACTAATTGATATGCAAAACTTGGCACATTTGTTCGTGCTTCTTGAGGACACTTCCGCTAGAATTCTGGCTGCTATGTACCACTTGGCAGGACTTCAAAGCCCTAGCACAAATGTACAGGAGCTGATAACAGTGTTCCTACAATAGACAAGAACACGTTGTTTTCCTTATGTTTTCAGTGTTGTCTTGAGATGGTTATTGCCCTGTGCACTTGGTATTCATTTCCATATTCTTCTCTGCCTTTCCATATATGAAGGGAGTGGAAGGCTAACGACTGTTTCCCAGACTCTCTTCTGGTTCTGAAAGTAACTGTGGTTCTACCAGCAAGAGGCACTGCGCAAAATCTGGAAGGCCTAGGCTGATTCTCTTTAGTAGCCAAACTAACAGAGGTGACTATGAGTGCAGTGGGGGAGGTTGTGAGATTGTTTGTTTTTTGCTTTTCCTAAATGGATTATAATTTAAAAGTTTAAGAATCACAGCTCTCATTAAGTCTGCTATTTCAGCCAAAATAAGCTATATGGACATTGGGAGCAAATCACCTACCAGCCACAGCTCACATTATCCTTTTTCTTTTTCCACTTCAAATTTATTTTTCTAATTTTTGCTTAGGTTTTTTTTTTATTTTCTTAAATTATTTTTTTTAATTTAAATTCAATTAATTAACATATAATGTATTACCGGTTTCAGAGGTAGAGGTCAGTGATTCATCAATCTTATACAATAGCCAGTACTCATTACATTACATGCCCTCTTTAATGTCCATCACCCAGTTACCCCATCCCCCCACCCACCATCCCTCCAGCAACCCTCACTTTGTCTCTTGCATGAAATGACATCTTGACTGCTCAGTCTTTCACCCTCAGGCAATCGGCTCTACTGGTCCCTTAAGAGCCAGCTCTAGACCTATGTTCTTTTATATAACTCATGGAAGTATATGTCTCATCTCTTCAGGTAAAGTCTTTGAGTGCAGACATCATAACCTATAATTCATTAGAGCTCAACATTTAATACACTGCTTACTCAACATCTGTTAGGGGTCCTAATCAGTGTCTAAGAGCTAACATTTCCCTCTATAATTGCTTCCTTTGTCTCTTCCTTTAGAGTTCCCTGCTCAAACTTTAACAGCAAAATTGAAGCATAAAATCAGAATCCACAGAAAATGTAAAACAAGAAAGTAAAAATAAGAGACAAAGTTCATGTAGCTGTTAAGAAACAGACTGAGTAGAATACAATTAAAAAAACATTTATGGCTAAGTGTGACTGAATTTAAAAAGGGCCCTGGACTACAGGCTGAAAGTTCTATTTTCACAACCGTCCTTAATGCAAGTGGGGTCCATATGGAGCTGAGGCACCAATAAGACTATATGGAACAGGTATCCATCCATTCTGTTTGGTCAGTGCGCATGAAATTCTAGTAGTTTTTTTTTTTTTTTTTTAAAGAAAGGGAGGTGTGGGGAAGGGATAGAGAGAGAGAATCTTAAGTTGATTCCCCACCCAGCATGGAACCTGATGTAGGGCTTGATCTCATGACCTTGAGATCATGACCTGCACCAAAATCAAGAATCAGATGCTTAACCAACTCAGCTACCTGGATGCCCTTACTGTTAAATATTTTTTATTTTATTTTTTTTAATTTATTTGACAGACAGAGATCACAAGCAGGCAGAGGGGCAGGCAGAGAGAGAGGGGAGGAAGCAGGCTCCTTGCTGAGCAGAGAGCCCGATGCGGGGCTTGATCCCAGGACCCTGGGATCATGAACTGAGCCGAAGGCAGAGGCTTTAACCCACTGAGCCACCCAGGCGCCCCCTGTTAAATATTTTTAATAGCACCTCTGAGTACAACCAATAATTAATACTCACATAATAAAAATTTCTTCTATTCCTTCCTAATTTAATTCTTTCCTATTCTCTCTTGTAGTCATTTAAAATTTTACCACTCCCTTTATGACTCCTATCTCATCCTCAGGACCTAAGATAGTGTCTGACAAGCACTCAGTAAACATTTGTTGAATGTTGAATGAATAAATGTGACCCTTCATTTATTCTTTTAGTTCATGAGAAAAAGGGAATCCCTCTATATTCTTTATCTGGTCCCTAAAGTTGTTGATCTCACTTTCCTTTTTTTTCCTTAAAACGTGTTTCAATACCCTCTCAATGATTTTATCTCATCCTCAGCCATAAAAATGTTCCAGCTTTCCCAGTCCTGACCATCTCCCCGGACTTTGCCTCCCCGCTCACACTGCTGTTCTTAATCATCTTTCTTTCACCTTTGATCTTCTAGATAGTCTGCACTCAGTCTCCATCTCCCCTTCTTACCATGCCTCAGCCAAGCTAAATGCATTCCCACCAAACCCCTCTTCGCTGAGAACACTTAAAAATGTCACAGGTAGTCCATTCATTGTCAAATCCTATCATGTCTTTTCAGTCTTCATCTTCCTACCTGTCCACAGGATCTGTCATTGCGGACTCTACTTTCTCCTTCTTGAAACATACCCCATCCTTGGTTCCCACCTTACTGTCTCTCTTGGCACCTCTCCCCCTCCTCTATCTTTCCGGCTACTTAAGTTCTTTGCTAGATCTTCTCATGTAAGCGGAAGCCTAGCCAGGGGAAGGGGGAGGGTGATAAAAAGGCCACTCATGAAGGAGAGTGGTGGGACAGTTTGAGAGAGAGCCTGGAGAAGCGGCCTGGGAAAGCAGACACAGCTTGGAGCCCGTATGTAGGATGTAAGACTTTCAGGAAGACTGTTGTTCAAGGGTTGGAAAAACTGTGGCTTATAGTCAAGAGTTACATACATGCAGGCATTTAGATGATAAAAAAAAAAGTTAAAGTGAGGAGGTGAGAAAGAAAGTATGCTCACCACTGTACCAGCCAAGGGGTCATAAAACCGCTCAAGGAGCTGGACCACCGTGCTCTTCCCACAGCCGCTGCTGCCCACCAGCGCCAGCGTCTGGCCCTTCTTCACCTTGAGGCTCAGCCCCTGCAGCACGGGGATGTCTGGTCGAGTGGGATAGTTGAACACGACTTCATTAAATGTCACGTTTCCTTCCAACGTATTCTAAAATCAGAACAGTGACAATAAAGGTGATTATGGCAATCCTGAAAACTCACAGTACAGAGAACCCCCTCTACCACCAGGTGTCCAAAGACCGTGAACTTGTATTACAATGGCGCTGCAGCTGTGACTCTCAGAATGCAATCGACAAGATCGAAGAGATTCAGGGGTTTTATAGCAGGGATTGTTAATGCAACACAAATATGCTAACTCAGACATGTTCCCCAAGAATACATTAACCTACATACAATAAAACCTGGTAAACAGGATTTGCTTATAAATTGGGTAGTCTGTCTATCTCCTTGTAGCCTTGTTATACAAAAGTACTGGATGTTAACATAAATGATTAGCATTTACTAAAATGACCTCATGATTTAGACAGTTTCTTTTTATTCCCAGCAAATTAAAAAAAACCCCACAGATTTTATTAAATTTCCTCTTAGAATACTTCCACTCATCAGTTAGGAATCTATCTTAACCATCAAAACATCAGACTCACCGGCTGGAGGCCTCCAGTGCTGTAGCTGTCAATCAGAGGGGTTTTTTCGATGATCATGATGACGTGGGCTGCTGATACTTTGGCTTTGGCATAGTCAGGAGCAAATGAACTGACCTGCCCCACTGCCATGGCACCAAAGACAATAGCTGAGAATACCCTGCAAAAACACAGACGAAGCATGCGCAGAGTTTGGATTATAATGCTAGACAGCTTACCGCTCTACAACCACAGCATTGCCACAAATGGTGAAAGACAGAAGTTAAAAAATAAAACCAACAGACACTTGTCCTCATATAGTTCATGTCAGTGTAATACACTGTAAAATAGCCCCATTTTTCATCTGTTTCTCTCACCTCACCTTCTAGTAATGTGACTTGGCAGCTCCTCCATTTAAGAACGGGAATTCATTTTCCTAGCCTTTGAATCCGAGTTGGCCTATGACTTGCTTTGGCCAACAGGATGTGGTGGAAATGACTGTTGCCAGTTCTAAGCCTATGACTCAGGGGGCTCGGTGTACCTTCTCTCTCTGGCACTACCACAAGCCCAGCTAGCCTGCTAGAGGACAAGGCACAGATGGAGGCAAGCTGTGTGGGCTCCAGCCAACTAGCCTGTAGTCTTCTGCACACATGGATGAGACTGGCTGAGATTTGCTGTCTACCCCGGCTCAGGAGAACTGCCCAGCTGACCCACACACCTGGCGCAAATACGAATGCTTATTATTCCATGTCACTGGGGCTTAGCGGCTGGTTGGTAAGCAGTGTGACTTTGGCAATCAATAACGGGTATAGGCATTTGCGACAACGTAGACAGACCGAGAGGATATTAAACTAAGTGGAATAAGATTGAAAAAGACAAGGGCCATATGATTTCACTCACGTGGAATAAAAAAATACGAATGGATAAACAAAGAGCAGAATTAGATCTATAAATCAGAGAACAAACTGATGGTTGCCAGAGGGGCAGTGGGTGGGAGGCGGGGGAGGAAAATGGGTGAAGGGGAGTGGGAGAGACAGGCTTCCAGTTAGGGAATGATTAAGTCACGAGAATAAAAGGTACAACATAGGGAATCCAGTTCAATGATATTGTAATAGCCTTGTATGGTAAGGGATGGTAGTTGAACTAGTGGTGAGCATAGCATAATGTATAGAGAAGCTGAATCATTATGCTGCACACCTGAAACTAATGTAACATTGAGAGTCAGCTATTAAAAAAAACAACAGATATGGGCAGTGGTGCTGAAATTACCTTGGGTTCTTAGAAAACATGGGAGCTGTACAGCAAAGAGTGAGCTCCTTATAGAGACAGGTCTCATGCCGCTCTCAAGATGCAATCCCCATGCTTAACCTATGGCATGGGAATCACAGCAGCTTAAAGCTGGGAAAGACTCTACAGGATATCAAGTCCAGTTCTCAAAGTTTGTTCCCTGAGCGACTTCTCCTAAGTCGGCTACCATCCTTCGTTTTAGAAAGTAGCAAGTTTGATTAAGTCTATTGTTAAAAAGCTCTTTTTCAAATGGAAGAAAAATGTCCATCCTTTTGCATAATCCAGCCCTTAACTGGAATATTGTCAAAAAGGCCCTTTACTTCTTTAGTAAATCCTTTCCCTCTCGACACTCCAGTTGCCCTCCTCTGGACACATTTCTCCACATGCCTTTTTTTATTTTATTTTAAAATTATTTTTTCCTTTCCAAGTTTTTATTTAAAATCCATGTAGTTAATATACAGTGTACTATTAGTCTCAAGTGTAGAATATACTGATTCAACACTTCCAAACAATACCGAGTGCTCACCACAAGTGTGCTCCTTAATCCCCACCGTCTACTTCACCCATCCCCCCACCCACCTCCCCTCAGCTAACCATTATTTTGTTCTCCGTGGTTAAGTCTGTTTCTTGATTTGCCTCTCTTCTCCCCCACTCCCCTGGTTTTCATCTGTTTTATTTTTTAAATTCCACAGGTGAGTGAAATCGTATGGTGTTTGTCTTACTCTGACTTTTTTCTTTGCTTAGCATCATACTCTCTGGCTCCATCCTTGTCATTCAAAAAGCAATATTTCATTCTTTTTATGGCTGAGTAATATTCTATTACATATACATGTCTCTTCTTCTTTATCCATGCATCGGCCAAGGGACACTTGGGCTGTTTCCATAATTTGGCTACTTCCACATGCCTTTCTAAACAGTGGGCCTGGGGGCACCTGGGTAGCTCAGTCGTTAAGCATCTGCCTTGGGCTCAGGTCATGATCCCAGGGTCCTGGGATCGAGCCCTGCATCAGGCTCCCTGCTCGGCAGGAAGCCTGCCTCTCCCTTTCCCACTCATCCTGCTTGTGTTCTCTCTCTCTCTCTCTCTGTCAAATGTGTCTGTCTCTGTCAAATAAATAAATAAAATCTTAAAAAAAAAATAAACAGTGGGCCTGGAACTAACACAGTACTTGGGAACCCGCCCAGAAGAATACCGTCACATCTCCTCTGGGCTCTAGAAAATTATACAAATGGTTAATCTCCGGCTTGTCATTATTTACTCTTATAAGATCTTTTACAAATGGACTAATCTTCAGACAGGTCTCTCCCTTCCTTTACTCGAAAGATTGATCCTCTCAATCTAAATGCCCATGTGTCAGCAACTTCCATCAATTCGATGCCTTACCTTGAAGTGAAGCAATATATCAAATAATTATCTAATTGAAGTCCCAATGACAATGATGCTTGGTTTTGATCTTTTGGTCCAAGTCATAAATAGCTCCTGCATATCATTTGTCAGACAGAGATATTAGGGAGAAATTTTAAATCCTCTGCTGAGGTCATCCTGAGCAAGCCATAATGCATACACAAGCAAATGTCTAAACAGAATGAAACCATTACCTCAACACCTTAGATAAGCCAGGTTTAGATGATTCTGGTTTAAATGTAAAACTGTCCTACCACTAATGACGGTATTCCATCAAAGGGCAGAGTCTCACCCATCACCAAATCTAGGTGCCCAGAAAGATTATACATACTTTTCACTACCCAACTGCACATCTGAGTATTTCAGAAGTATAATTAAGTTCAGATCTGTCTTTCCCTGACGGAGGAACAATTTTCTGCCTTCATAGCAATGGAGCACAAATCCCAGTCTAGCTTTTCCTTTGTCATTTCTGAATTTCTTCAGCTCTTACCTTCAGCTCTTCTTGTGTCAAGGAAAGCAAATGTATTCTAGAAACTCCCAGGGCTTGCAGAGCTCAGTGTCCCACACTTGCTCTTTAGCTTGTCTGTTCAGAAATTTCGTTAAAAGGATCCAAACCCTTGGTGCAGGGTTAGGCTTCTTCCCAAATGCCAAAACCTCCTGGGAACCCCTCATTGAATCACTACCCCCCACTGAGCCACAGATTCAGAAAGGCCAATGTATGGGTCAGCACTGGGGAAGGGACAGTCATTGATTCCCCAAAAGAAATGGGGGTACTTCTGTGATAATACACAGACTTGGGCAAGATTTCACCTTCTGAATCACCAGGATCTCTTCATGAAGCTTCCCAGTAAGGTTTTCTATCCAGGCATGAAGTATGTTTACCTCAGTTATATTTCTAGAGTTCAATTGCCAATATTAACCCGATACTTACAACAGAACATCCGGAAAGTTCATGGAGCCGGTGGCCACCAGGTAGGCACCAAACCGGAAACAGCCGGCGTAGGAAAAATACATCATTGCCTGGGTGATGGAAAATGAGATCCCGAAGATGTGTGCTTTCCTCAAAGAGTTTCTGAAAAGAAGATGTTATGAAACTTACTTGACTTTCATTGCTCAGTCCTTAAAACATAACCTTTGCTAGATCAGCCATGGGGCATGGCAGATAAAAATGGGTTCAGTTTCCAAAAAGGTAAGATTGGTGCTCACTTTTCTACTTGTGAAATTTTAGGAAACTGCCTAATGAAGGATTAACTATACCTGAAAGTGTTGAGGTAAAGTTAAAATAAGCCAAGGAAAACATGAAGTTTCTGTTAGGGATTCATAAATGGAAGTTCCTTCCCTTTCCCTCCACTTTTGGATGTATAAAATATATGCAGTCTAGAGTCAATATTCGTTCAACACACATTTACCCAATACCTACAAGCTGCAGCGACCATGCTGGGTGACAGAGAACAGTCAGTCATATTCTTGCCCTTGGGGACCCACCAGTCAAGTTGACTGTTGATTCAATTATGCAATGCAGGTACCATATAAAAAACATGTTAGGGGAAGAAAGGAGGAAGCACTGAACTCTCTGGGGGAGTAAGAGAAGGTATCACAATGGCGTAAATGTTGGTGGATTTTCTGAGCCCTGTGACTCAGGTGATGTGGAGGTAAGCACAGGCTGGTGAGCGGGCAGCCCTGTGGGCCTCCTACCTTGGCCTCAACCAGGTCAACACCATTTCCATCTGTTTCATATATTGGGAGTTCAAATGAAAAGATCTTCAGAAAAAAAGACTTATTTAAAAAAAGTTTGAAAACCCATCAATCAAGTCTAACTCTCTCCTTTTACTGTGTAAGAGACTCAGAGAGGTTGGGCTGACTGCTTAGAACCGTCGCTGGATAAGTGCATTAAAGGAAATACCAAAGTTCTCCACTAGAGAAGCCTCAAGAGAGGAAGGAAAGGCATATTCAGGAAGCATCACCCCCTCTACCCAGGTCCCACAGATACATCAAATTTCATGTTGTATAGAGAACTCATCCCCACTGAGAGCAAATGATAGGGTCATCACCCAAACCTGACATCAGAGAGTTATTCTCTATCTGTTCTCCCCCTCTGCTTCCCATCAGTTACCCACCCACTGTTACAGGATCTACTTCTGAGAGGTCAGGGTCTTGTGATTGGTCTCCTGGATAATTACAAGTGCTTCCCAGCTGGTTCCCTTCTAGTAACTTCTCCACTTGTTCCCTACCTTCTGGCCAAAGTAATCTTTCTAAAAACAAAATAAACCTCCCCACACTCCCCTCCCACTCTTCAGTGGTTATTACCTGTACGGGACTTGCAAACTCTGTGCATACATGTATTCAAACTTCTGTTCCCGGGTCAAAGAAACAACAGTTCGGAAGTTTTCAATTGCTTCAGTAGCAATCTGTAAAAAAGAGCCCCAGGCCCAGAGGTGAATGAACGTGGTGATTAGTGTGAATGCCATAAAAAAGATTAATAAATTAGTTTTATTATTATGTATTATTTTTTATGACCCATGAGCTTCTTCCCTATGAGAAAGAAAACTAATATACTAAATCAAATTTTAGAACTGGAAGGAAGATTGGCTGATTCAGTCTCCTCTTTATAGAGAGAGAAGCTAAGGCTTAAACAGATGAGGACACTTAGCTAAAGCCAGAGCTTTCTTTACAGAGGCAGAATTCCCCTGAGAACTCAGTATTTTACAACTATTGCAGTGTTCTTTCTTCCATGATGGTCACATTTTAGGTTTATGATTATTTTATATATATTTTAAATGCGATGTTCATATTTTTCTCATTATAATTATCATTCATGACAACTGAGGAATATTTGGAAAATACTGAAAAGATTAAAAAATGAGTAAAAATCTCCATATATGTGTATTTTGCATATTAGCTTATATATTGTTTTTTTCTAAGCCTATAAGTACTTAGGAAAATTGGGACCAATTTCTTTTTTTGACTTTTGCGTCATTATTTTTTTACCTTAACAAATATCAAGAGCATTTTCCAAGGTCATTAAATACACTTTAATAATGAGATTTTTAATGGGCCACATAATATCCCAACCAGTTAAGCATTCCTTTATGGTTGAACAAGTTTTTCCATCCTCTTCCTATTAAAAACAATGCTGTGTGGGGAGCCAGGGTGGCTCAGTTGTTAAGTGTCTGCCTTTGGCTCAGGTCATGATCCCAGGGTCCTGGGATCAAGCCCTGCATCAGGCTCCCTGCCTGGTGGGAAGTGTGCTTCTCTCTCTCCCACTCCCCCTGCTTGTGTTCCCTCTCTCACTGTGTCTCTCTCTGTCAAATAAATAAATAAATAAATAAATAAATAAATAAATCAAATCTTAAAAAAAAAAAATAAAAACAATGCTGTGATAAACATCCTTACACATAAACCTTTGTCCAAAGTAAATTATTTTCTTGAGATAATTTTTTTTAAAGATTTTATTTATTTGACAGAGATCACAAGTAGGCAGAGAAGCAGGCAGACAGAGAGAGAGGGAAGCAGGCTCCCTGTTGAGCAGAGAGCCCGAAGCGGGGCTCGATCCCAGGACCCTGGGACCATGACCTGAGCGGAAAGCAGAGGCTTTAACCTACTGAGCCACCCAGGCGCCCCTTGAGAGAAGTTCTTAAAGGTGAAATTACTAGTCAAAGGGAATAAACAAATTTTTAAGGAACATGGCACATATTATCCATTTGTTTTCCAGAAAGTTTCTCCCAGTTATTTTTTTAATTGAATGCAACTTCCAACCAGTCTTTGTAATTAGGACAAATATATCCTTTTAGAGTCTAGGTAAAGGGCTGTGGAAAACCTGAAAAATTCCAGTGCACAAAATGAGATTTCAGCCTGTATCGGCCATGAGACTTTGAAATCTCTGTGTCTTGGTCTCCTCATACGTAAAATGAGGGAGATGGACAAGAGTGTCTTAAAGTCCCTTTTAACTCTGTAATTCTAAGAAAAATAGCTTTTAACTCTGTAAATCTAAATTAAGAATCAGGCAGTAAGGGAAATTATTCTTCTATGAAGATGTTCTTCCTTTCTCTGGCTTGTACACTGGTCAGAACAGATTTTTTTTTTTTTTTTAAGAGCCAGGAGAGGGGCAGAGGGAGAGAGAGAGAGAGAGAGAATCTTAAGCAGGCTCCATGCCCAGCGTGGAGCCTGACATCGGGCTCAATCTCATGACCCTGAGATCAAGATCTGAGCTGAAATCAAGAGTCAGATGCTTTAACAGACTGAGCCATCCAAGTGCCCCATGGTCAGAAGTGATCCAATAAAGACACATTCATTTACAATTGAATGATTAACAGCTCGAAAATCATAAACATGAAACCTTACTTACTTCTTACTAAATCCTATACCAAATACCTAATTTCAAAGAGAAATGCAAACATTTGATACAACATAAGTCAGTTTTTAAAGAGTAATTCAAAGAGCTATTAGAAGAAAAACAGTAAGACCGTATACTTAAAAACAAAAACTTAGTTAAAAAATAAAGTTAAGGGGCGCCTGGGTGGCTCAGTGGGTTAAGCTGCTGCCTTCGGTTCAGGTCATGATCTCAGGGTCCTGGGATCAAGCCCCGCATCCGGCTCTCCGCTCTGCAGGGAGCCTGCTCCCCCCACCCCGCCTCTGCCTGCCTCTCTGCCTACTTGTGATCGCTGTCTGTCAAATAAATAAATAAAATCTTTAAAAAAAAATAAAGTTAAAAATATTATTCTCTGACCCAATTAGGCCAAGAATATTGAACTATGTTTACCATAAACTACTGACAAAGATAGGAAAATGTCCAGATTCAATTCATGTTAAAAAATTTTATAAAAATCTGTACACACTATGAAAATAATATACATTTATTTCAGAAAATCCTCAAAGTGCAGAAAACAAAAAATTAGAAGAACAAATTCACCTCTAGCCATATCTGCACACAACCCTTGTTCAGAACCATGTTAGAAATATTTTCAACGATAATGCTCCAAACAAACGGAAAGGTTCTTCATGTTAGTAAGGAAATTCAACAATTTATAAAAATGTCTGCTGAAAACAGATTCTACTGTAAATTTCAATGTGGTTTCTAAGAAATATTTTCTGTGCACCATTTTCTAAGTCAGGTGTGTTTTGTTTGTTTTTTAAAAACCAAATGGTCTGTAAATGTGGTCACTTCATAGAGGGTGTAAACAGCCCAATACAAGTGAGTTTATGAGTCACAGACCTCACATAGTGAGTAAAACCATAAAGTAATCACTTCACAACCATCTTCATCTTGCCTCATGATGAAGCAATTAAGAAAAGGCTTAATGAGTACTCTGCAGCCTCACAGCTTCGTTTTCTCCAAGAGTTTTAAATAGAAACTCAGGAAACCACTACAAAGAGTGAGAACTTTTTTCAAAGTTTATTTATTTATTTGAGGGATAGAGAGAGAGAAAGAGAGAGCAGGGGTAGGGCAGAGGGAGAGGGAGAATCTTAGGCAGACTCCCCACCCAACACAAGCCCAACTTGGGGATACTTCTCACAACCCATGAGATCACCACTTGAGTGGAAACCAAGACTCAGATGCTACAGAGTGAGCCATCCAGGCACTCCAAGAAAAGAGAACCCTAATATGAGAAGAGTAAATAGCATTGAGTTTCCTTCAGTAGCCATCGTGAACAAAATAATTTTGAAGAAAGCAATATATATATATATATATATATATATATTTTTTTTTTTTTCCCTAGAAAGAAAAAAAAAAACAACAACCCTCCTCACACTTCTCTTCCTATCCTCAAATAAACTGAGGTTTGATTATGGCTTTTATTTCTGAAAAGGAAAAAGCACCTATTTTATTAAAATGTTCACTAGTCAATAATAATGTGACAGAAATCTGCAGAGCTCAGGCAGGGTAGAAGTTATGAGCAGGCTGCCCCCAACACGGTCTTGCTCTGGAATCCTGGCCCTGCTCTGTCTCTGTAAGGGCAAACCAACAGTGCTGGTCCCCATGGAGCTTATGCCTTAGTAGGGAAGACAGTCCACTATTCAATAAACAAAGAAATAGCAGACAAACAACAAGTGCTGAGAATTCAGGGGTCAGGAAAGACCTCACCAAAGAGGTAATAATGCTGAGATCTGAATAATATAAAGAAACCAGGCATGGGAAGATCAGAGGGAGCCAGCTTGGAATGTTCCAGGAACTGAAAGGCAGCCCATGATGCCAGAATGGGGTGGGCATGGGAGAGAGTCGTGAAAGACTCACTCAGAGAAGATGTTGGGGTGGGGGGGGGGGATTATGCAGAGTCTTATCAAGTAGGATAAAAAGTTGATCTTTTCTTCCCAGTGTGATCAGAATCCACCAGAGGGTTTTAAGTTGGTAACTGGTTAGTGTGTTCTTGTGTTTGTAAGAGATCAGGGTGGCTTCTGTGAGAAGAATGTAGAAAATGGGTGGACAAGAAGGGAAGGAGTGGGAGCAGGGAGATCAGTTAGAACTATTGCTTTGTGATTTGGGGTTACCCGACTTCTATGATCCTTGGGTTTTATCAACTAATAAGAAGAATTCCAAAAAGTGATTGAGTATCAAAGGAGAAAATGCACGCAGAGCTCCTTGCATGATGCCTGACATATACTAAATATTCAGTAAATGGTAACCTGGGAATGAGGAGCTTTGGGAGTTGATTTTCAAAACTACACAGACCAGATGGTCTTGAAAACACCACTTTCCCTACGTGTTCTTACCAGTCTCGTGAAACACCCCTGAATCAGAGCCTGTATCTCACTTCTCAACCTCTGCTCAGTGAACCTGCCACATTCACACATATCCAGGTCTACCTGCCCCCCTTCCTTGCCCCAGGACAGATTTCCCAGAGTCTTTTTTTTTTTTAAAGATTTCATTTATTTATTCGACAGAGAGAGATCACAAGTAGGCAGAGAGGCAGGCAGAGAGAGAGAGGAGGAAGCAGGCTCCCCACCAAGGAGAGAGCCCGATGCGAGGCTCGATCCCAGGACCCTGGGATCATGACCTGAGCCTAAGGCAGAGGCTTTAACCCTCTGAGCCACCCAGGTGCCCCTCTCCAAGAGTCTTAAATCTGAGTTTCCTTGGGATCCCAAGGAATCTTGGGATCCACTTTAGAAGTGCTAACCTGTGATGTCTAACAAATTACCTTATAATTGAGAATCTTGATCACCTTCTTCCTCTAAACAACGTAAGGCTCCTTTCTGGGACATTTTGAACACCTCAGGAAATGATGATATTCCTAAATACTAACACATTTTCTTTCCACACATTTTGTCCTAGATTTTTCCATTCTCTCACATGAAAAGTCAACACCACAGAAAGAAAAAACAAGACAGTGGAGTATTAAATGAGGTGATTGTTCACAGAACATGTCCCCTGATAGGGGCCAATGTGACAAGGTCCAGCCCACAACCAGATGCCGGTGGGTCAGCTTGATCCTGCTGAAGCTTGGGACTGGGCCTCCGATGGCCTGAAGGGGAGCCTCACATGAGACCTTTCTCCCATAGACACTAGTTAGGAAACACTAAATGAAATTTAAAATTAAATTTTAAATGGAAATTTAAAATTTTAAAATTAAATTTAAAATGGAATTAAAACACTAAATGGAATTCATCCAATGGAATTCGTGAAGGAATCCTAAGGAAACAGGATAAAAAGTCTGAGGAGATGGCTGGGAGGTAGAGGACAAAGTGTCAGTGGTGATTAACCTCCATGAAGAAGTACCCACTACATCATTCATTATTCTCTGGTGTGGTGCCTGGTCCTGAAACGAAGTACCTCAGACACATGGCCTAGAGAGCCAGAGCCACTGGATCTTTCTGGGTCCCTGCCCTGACTCTTAGGAACCCTGGAGGGTCTACTAATAGATGTATCCCTACCCAGTTTTGGGGGTCCGTCATGCTCTGAATACTTCTATTTCTGCAGTGATACAAACCACGTGCTATCAGATTTATTTGGCCATCAGCAGACCTCTCTGCTTCTTCACAGAGGCACAACTTTGGATCCTGGCTATGAGGCTTATCAGCTCTAAGGCACTGGGGCCACAACCCACCTGTGCCTCAGCTTCAGCTGAAAAAGGAATGAATAATAAAGCCAACTTCTTAGGGTCACAATGAGGAGTAAAGCATTGCCAAGGAAACACAGTAAATGCCATACAAGCACTTCTTTCAAAACAACAACAACAACAACAAGTAAACAAGTATGTAGGAAGAGAAGGAGAGGAAAGAGAAGAAGAAAAAGTAGTAATAGGAGCCACACTACCCGTAGTAGGTTAAAGATAAACAGAAATAAGATGCCAGCAGGAGGCATGATAAAAAAGAAAGAATGCTAATAATTTAAGCCTGACAGAATAAATACCTTTAGGACTTCTCCATATTTTAACCATCCCCCCCATCACACATAATAAAATGGGGCTGCTTTCCTCAATAAAGGAACGGATTTCAGCTTGCTTGAGGGAAAGAAGGACAGAGGGAAGGGGTGCGGAGAGAGGGCATAGAGGAAGAGCGTGCGGACAATGGTCTGAAACAATGAAAGCCTAATAAAATCAGTTGTCAGGCTGTGAGCCTCAGACTTCGTCGGGCTTCTTTTCTTCAGTTTCCAATTTTCCTCCGGTCAAGTGAGACTGCTTTAAGGACTGAGTATAAAAACATTCTCCGAGCATAGTGAATAGCAGCGAGTAACAGAACGACACTGATTAGAATATTTCACTCTTTCAGATCAGCATTTATATTTAGGTTGACTCACCTTCCCAGCACCTTCCAGTTCTTTCTTATCTTTCAGTGCTTGTCCAGACAACATTTTCATTTCAACAACTCCCGCTATTGCAATGATGGGTACGATGGCTAAGAGTAAAAGTGTTAACTGCCAGCCATAGATTAAGGATATAATAATGCCTGTCCCAAGATTTGCTATATTCTGGGTAATTACAGCGAGCCTGGAACCTATAGCCTACAAAATAAAAACACAAAACAAATTAGAGAAATGCTTTCATATTCTCTTTAAAACCCATGCCTATATTTTCCTCAGGATTATGACTTCAGCTTCATGAAATTCTATTAATTATCTTCTCACTTACAAAATAAAAGGGAAAGTTTTACTCGTAAGTTTATCTGGTTTCGAAAATGAAAATTTCCATGACATCAGAGTAAATACTGAAAGAAGATCAATAATTCAGTGTTAAGTTACATATTTCTATCTCTTCCAATTTTTTTTAAGTAGGCTCCACGCCAGTACAGGGCTTGAACTCACAACCCTGAGATCAAGACCTGAGCTGAGTTCAAGAGTTGGACGTTTAACCAAATGAGCCACCCAGGCACCCCTCTCTTCTAACTTTTAATACCAAGAAAATTTTCATTAATCAATGAAACCATGATCACTAAAGCAAGCTCTTCAAATAAACAAGATAAAAGGGGCTCCTGGGTGGCTCAGTCGTTAAGCATCTGCCTTCGGCTCAGGTCATGATCCCATGGTCTAAGGATCGAGCCCTGGGCTGGGCTCCCTGCTCAGCAGGAAGCTGCTTCTCCCTCTCTCACACCTCCTGCTTGTGTTCCCTCTCTTGCTCTTTCTCTGTCAAATAAATGAATAAAATCTTTTAAAAAATAAATAAACAAGATAAATAATCCGACAGTTACACTGGAAATGTTGGAGATTTCCAATGTTAGATGCATAGCTACTCAAAGTTAAGTCTAATATATGTCATTAAGGAATCCAAATATATCTGGGCCTATTTGAGATGCTTATTGGGTTTAATTTAACCTGCAGTTGATTTGGAAAAACTACACAGAGCTAAAAGTTACGGAATTTAATTTAGGGTATTAAGCAGGCGTTAGAGACTTTAGTGTGAATGCCAGAGGGGGCCTAGAGTATGACTTTCAGTAGCATGCAGTGACTTCCAGCTCTAAAGCCAGAAGTCAAACTATAAAGTCAGTTCAGTCCACTATTCCATACCGTACTTCTCTACCTTAGAAACACCCAAGCCCTCAATCCCTTCCAAAGTCCGGCTCTGGTGCCCAGATCTGGGAATGGCCCAGGTTTTTTCTACTCCCAAAGTTCCCTCTGCCTGATCAGGGCCAGACTCAGGTGTAGATTCCAATGCAGTAAAGTTCAGACTGGTCACATCCTCCTCTGTGTACCCCCTTCTCCATCACTCCAGTATCAACCCTCTGAAATCATTCAACACTTACATGATATAAATACCAGACCAGGAATTAGGGGGCAACGGTATTACAACTACTAGGAGCCTCTGTACATTAAATTCTATACCAGGAATTGTGCCAGACAGCATGAATAATGGAACGTTTCTTTCTATTTGATGCAGCTGCTGAGTTTCTATCGAAGGAATGCTTAACCAAATTTGGTTTATGTCAAAAAATGAAGTAGATTTCAGAGCCAGGTCTCTGCATTTGTGCATTTCCAACCAAAAGTCAAAGGTTACAACCCGGACAGAGTCCATGGCACGGGGACAATGTAAACTGCTCCTGTTCTCAGAATCTACGAGTCCTAGCCAGAACTCACTTCCCACAGCTACTGACTGAGAGAAGTGCTCAGAACATCCACCAAGCTCACAGCAAGTGAACGATTCTAGCACAACAACCTTCCAGACATAGGAATATTCAGGTCTAGATTGCAGTCAAGGTCATGAAAATAAGTAAAATGGATCAGAGAGGACAAATTCTTCTCTCATGTACATGAAAGGTGAAGAAAAGATCAAGAACCTCAGGCTTTGGGGTGTGGGGAGATTATACTCCTCGGTTTAACTTGAGTTAGCACTTGAAGTCATGGTGCTGGTTACTGTTCCTTATGCTGAAGACTAACACTGTTCCACCTCTAGTCATCACACAGAGTAGGACTCTAGAGTTCTGGGGATCACAATGAATGGGACAGCATAGATTAGTAATACCCTAGTAATTTTCATTTCAAAAAGTAGAACTGAGAGAAGATAACACTCCCAAAAACCACAGCCTAAGCTTGAAATAGGGGGAGACAAAAACAGCCCAACACTTGAAACCAATCAAGACCCCTCATTACCTCTCTACCCGCTGTACTTCCAAGTAATTCTATCTCACTTCCTCTTCTCATTTTTCTGCCCATTCTTCCTTGTTACTCCCTGCCCTGATATTTATTTCCTCCTCCAAACATGACCATATTGCTTGAAATCTAATTTAAAACACTTATGCTTACTGGGGAAAAAAAAAAAAGCCTATTTCCTGAGCCTCTTTCTGAAATTAGAAACATTTATAACTTCATCTTCCCCTCAACCACCTTCTCCTGGGGACATAAAAAACCTTAAATACATAGTGGCTTTTGATCTGTACATGGCTCTCATTTGCTTTTTTTCCCCTGCAGAATTCTAGTCCTAAAACCAAAATAAAACTTTAAAGCTATTTCATATGCAAAATGCTGAGATTATTTCCTCCTGATTTCTTTCTAGCAGAACATGCTTCTGACTCAGAAATACATCCAAGAAAATGTTTCCTTGATGGTCAAGTTAAATATGAAGAACATTTAACCTAGATAAACATTATCAGTAACTACATATGCACAAACTTGAATTAGCCCTGCCTCAGGTAGAATGATTTTTGTCTTCCCTTGGGTATTTTTTGATATAAAAAATTAATTTCACCACTTCCCACTGTGGAATAGAGATACAAACACACACACACACATACAGGTAAATATAAGTGAAAATATGTATATGCATGCATATAGCTGTGTGTATGTGTATTTACACACCTACACACATCTGCCCCAACATGAACAGGTCAGCTGGTAGCATTAAGTGGATACAACTGTCCTGTCTCCACCAACCTGTGGTAACGGCTACATCAGACTTTTCTGCCTCTGACGGCGCTCACAGACCTACTCGTTTCCTCTTCTCTGGTCCTTAGCTACTGATCGAAGTTCTGGAGTACACTTCTTTTTTTTTTTTTTTTTTTTTAAAAGATTTTATTTGTTTATTTGACAGAGAGAGATCACAAGTAGGCAGAGAGGCAGGCAGAGAGAGAGAGAGGGAAGCAGGCTCCCTGATGAGCAGAGAGCCTGATGCGGGACTCGATCCCAGGACCCTGAGATCATGACCTGAGCTGAAGGCAGAGGCTTAACCCACTGAGCCACCCAGGCGCCCTGGAGAACACTTCTGAACCAGTGGCTCACACAGGGGTGTGCAGGCTAGTGGGGCCATCAGAGTGTGAGTTCGAAGATACCAATGAAAAGCAGCAGGTCAACACCAGCAGGCAATCCGGGGCTCCCAGAGCTCCAGGGGCTGAGGAGCTCACAAACGACAGGAGAGGGACAGGCCTGGCCACCAGTCTTAGAGATACAAGACAAGACCACGGCTTAGGACAGGCCATCACCCCAGAGGAATTTCAGAGGAGGGAAGGAGGACAGCCAGCACACAATGCCCACACTGCGCCTGCTCAGGGTTCTGCCACCGGGACGGAGTCAGCATTTACTCCAGGCTGTGTCCTCCACACCAAACGAGGTGTGGGACGTGTGAGTCCCTGTGAGCACACGAGCACATTCAACCAGGTCTCTGTGAAAGGCATGCTAAAGGGAGAGCAGCAAAGTTTAACTAGGGAAACTTGGATTTCAGAAATTTGAGGACGCACTGTGTCCGCACTGAGCCTGATCGCCAAAGACTCACTCTTGAAGGGAGGGAGCAAAACGGATTGACCCCAAGCTCACTGACTGATTCTCCTGCCAAGTTAAATTAAAAAAAATAGAGACTGATGCTTTATATCTTTTACCTACCACCCACTTCTCTCCTCCATTTCCCAAGAAGTCCTTTAATAATGTATCTAATGGTGTTTGTCCTCTTTTCTCCTTTCTCTTGATTCCCCTTCCAGCAGGTTTTGCTCCCACCACACCTTGAAACAGTTCTTGTCAGAACCATGGCACCTTCTTTTTTTTTTTTCCATCAGCACCTTCTAGAGGCTGGAGCATGGTAAGATGTTCCATCACCTTGTGAGCTTATTAGCGGTATCTGACATCCTTGAATGCTACTCCTGAAAACACTTTATCCATGTTGTTTCTAGGACACTGCTCTAGGACCCTCACTGGCTGCTCCTTCCCAGTCTTCCAGTCTTCTTTGCAGGTGCATCCTCATAGCCCGGACCTCATGGCCCAGCACTTTCCATGCTCTCTAGCTGCGTATGCTTCCTTGTCTATTAACCCAGTCCCCTGGTTTACAAGCCATCAATGCACTGAAAAATCTCCAAATGTCTATTTCCAGACCAGACGTCTGTACTCAGCTCCAGACCTGTGCATCTAATCTGCCTTCTTGGTATCTCCACTCGGACATCTCATTGGACATCTCAAACGTTCCATGTTCCGAAAAGAACTCTCAACTCTCCCTCAAATCTGTTCTTTTGACAGGCTCCCAGTTTCATTAAAAAGCAACTCTATTTTTTTCATAAAGATTTTTATTTATTTGGCAGAGAGATATAGGGAGAGCACAAACAGGCAGAGATGCAGGCAGAGAGAGAGAGGTGGGGAGAAGCAGGCTCTCTGCTGAGCAGGGAGCCTGACGTGGGGCCCGATCCCAGGACCTTGGGATCATGGACTGAGCTGAAGGCAGCCACTTAACCAACGAGCCACCCAGGTGCCCCACAGTTCCATTTTTTAAAGTGATGCTGGTCACAAATTATGGAGACATTCTATATTCCCGTTCTCTTATACCCCACATATAACCAATAAATTCTGCTGGCTGTACCTTCAAACTATGTCCTGAATCTGATTACTTTTTGTCACCTTCATGATGACCACTCCAGTCTAAAATGTTATCCTCCCACCCCGACTATGGCAATACAGTCCCTGCCTCCACCCTTGCCCCCTTCAGCCTAGTCATACAGCAGCCTTTAAAACTTTCAGATCCCAAGGGGCGCCTGGGTGGCTCAGTTGGTTAAACGACTGCCTTCAGCTGTGGTCATGATCCTGGGGACCTGGGATTGAGACCCTGATCAGGCTACCCCCTCTCAGCAGGGAGCCTGCTTTTCCCTCTCCCTCTGCCTGCCACTCCCCCTGCTTGTGCTCTGTCATAAATAAACAAAATCTTAAAAACAAACAAACAAACTTTCGGATCCCATCGCTTCTATGTCCAAAACCCTACAATGATTTCCCATCTATTTCCAGATATAAGGCAGATCTCAATTCTTATGCCTCTTCCTTTCACTTACTTTACTGCAGCCATACTATTCTCTTTACTGTACTTAGAACAGTTATGGAAATGCTCCAGCCTCAGGGCCTTAGCACTTGCTGATCCTTCTGTTTAGAACATTCCTCTCTATATATCTACAGGACTAGTACCTTTCCCTCATTCAGGCCTCTTGCATATACCACCATATCTCTGAGGCCTGAAAGCCCTTACCTATACATCCTGCTGTTATTTTTTTCCCATAGTTATTTTTAATGATGATCCTGGCATGCGGTGTAGACACCAGAAGGCCAGGTTGTTGTCTGCTTTATAAAGTTCAAAGTTATTTCAAGTAGTGCATATGTGGCCCTGATAGGTTCTATACAACTTGATCTAAACCTCCATATTCATTGATTTGTGTGTTTTAAGCAAAGAAATTTGCATTTAAAAAAGTCACAAGATTTACGTTGTAATTTAAAACTCTGCACGCTTACACATTCATAACCTAATTTAGTCTTACGGAAGCCCCCTGTATTTGATAGAAGAAACTTTAATATAGAGCTACCTTAAAGAAAGACTAAAAGATTAATAAGGTTCAAGGGAGGGAAAGGCACGGCAGACATCACATGCTTTTTTTTTTTTTTTTCCAAATCCTATATCATCTTGTGGATTTTTGCTATCAGTAGTTACAGTGTAGAAGAAACTGTCACTTCCTGCACAAATCAAAACCACCTGGTTCAACTGTTTCTAGTTGAGCAGTTAAAGAGAGTCATGTACTAGTAAAATTTGAGCTTTACAACCTGATGAAGTTGTTCCTTCTACCACTGCTTTAATGTTTTAATGTGCTTCTCATTTCTTTCAACCTGTTTTTATTTTTATTATTATTACTATATATATATATATATTTTTTTTTTTTTTTTGAGAGAGAGAGAGAGAGCGAGTGCACATGCATGAGCAGGGTGGGCAAGGAGGTCTAGAGGGAGAGAGAGAGAGAGAGAGAATCTTAAGCAGACCCCAGGCCAGCCTAGCAGGGAGCCCGATGTGGGACTTGATCTCAGACCCTGATGGCATGCCCTGAACTGAAATCAAGAGTTTGATGCTTAACCAACTGAGTCACCTGAATGCCTCTCAACCTGCTTTTAGATTTTTCTTTCCTCTCTTCTAAACTGCAGTACTCCTAAACATGTATACAGAAACTACATTCTTTTTTCAGTAGCAATTAGTTCTCTGTTGATTAACCGAATCCAAAACAGACTGATCTTGCATGATATGCTGATAAATACTTCCTTTTCTAAATAATTATCCTTCCATGTGTATCCTGTAAATAATATGACTAACAACATAACAACAAAAGAAAACAACAAAAGTAGTAAACAACAAAACAAAAGAAAGTAAACAAAACAACAAAAGAAAGCTTGTAAATTATCTATACACTGTTACACAGTATAGAATGTTTAAGTGGTTAACATTTTCGCTATGAGGCAAATGATTTATTGTGTTAAATATTTATATAACGTTTTAGTGATAACGAGAACACCGAAAATGGGAAAATTAATCCCATGCGGAGATCCAAAATGGCCAACTAAGACTAACAGCAGCAGAAAGAAGGTACATACCCCTTTAACTTGAGCAGCGTCATTGGCAAGCCTAGTCGTCAATGCTCCAGTGGTGTTTTTAGGGTCATCAAACCAGCTCACATCCTGTGGCACAGAAAAAGATTTTATTATCTTAAAGCTCTACTTATAAGACCCTTAGCTCCAAGGGCAAGGACAAGATCAGGATGGTTATCATTTATACCCCTTGCATTTCCCCCTCAGGATTTGACACTCGATAGACAAGAAAGGGACTTAACAGACAAACACATAAGTAATTTCATTTGTCAAAATAATTTTCTGAGTGCCTGCTACTTAGACATCCAAATAGAGAGGCTGAATAAGCAGTTTAGATAACTGGAGTTCAGGGCAGAATAAATAAATTGGGTTTAAAAAAATCAACAAAAGAAATTTAGGTTGAAATTTAAGATTAACACAAAATGGGATTTTTTTTGGTAAAGCCATTCACCTTTTAATTTTTTAAATTTACTTTTATTTAAATTCAATTAACATATAGCATATTATTAGTTTCAGAGGTAGAGAGCAGTGATTCATCAGTCTTTTTTTTTTTAATATTTTATTTATTTATTTGACAGAGAGAGATCACAAGTAGGCAGAGAGGCAGGCAGAGAGAGAGGAGGAAGCAAGCTCCCTGCTGAGCAGAGAGCCCGATGCGGGACTCCATCCCAGGACCCCGAGATCATGACCTGAGCCGAAGGCAGCGGCTTAACTCACTGAGCCACCCAGGTGCCCCATGATTCATCAGTCTTATACAATACCCAGTGCTCATTATATCACATGCCTCCCTTAATATCACCCAGTTACCTTATCCCCCCATCCCCCTCTCACCAACCCTCAGTTTGTTTCCTACGATTAAGAATCTTTTATGGTTTGTCTCCCTGTCTGATTTCATCTTATTTTTCCCTCCCTTCCACTATGATCTGGTTTTGTTTCTTAAATTCCACAAGTAAGTGAATTTGATAACTGGATTTCTCTGACTGACTTATTTCACTTAACATAATACCCTCTACTTCCATCCATGTCGTTGCAAATGGCAGGATTTCAATTTTTGAGGGCTGAGTAATATACCAGAGTGTGTGTGTGTGTGTGTGTGTGTGTATGTATGTATATACACCACATCTTCTTTATCCATTCATCTGTTGATGGACATCTGGGCTCTTTCCATAGTTTGGCTATTGTGGACATTGCTGCTATAAACATTGGGGTGCATGTGCCCCATTGGATCATAACATTTGTATCTTTGGGGTAAATACCCAGTGGTGCAATTCTGTAGGGTAGCTCTATTTTTAACTGTTTGAGGAACCTCCATGCTGTTTTCCAGAGTGGCTGCACCAGCTTGCATTCCCACCAACAGTGTAAGAGGGTTCCCTTTTCTCCACAACCTCCAACATCTGTTGTTTTCTGACTTGTTAATTTTAACCATTCTGACTGGTGTATTACCTCATTGAGGTTTTGATTTGTACTTCCTTGATTCCAAGTGATGGGTAGCATTTTTTCATGTGTTATTAGCCATTAGTCCATTTACCTTTTTAAGTACATAAGTACTAAAAAGATTGTGAATTTGTAGTATGAATTTATATCCATAATAAAAATAACTATGGTCCTTTTATCCATACTGATGATTTGCAATTAAAGCAATACCTACCATATTTTCCCCAAATATTTAAGAAACAAGAAAGTGTTATAAGTTATTATAGCATGCATCACTTTGCTTTTTTAAAATTGCTGTGTTAAAATGCCTCTTCCAGTGGCATATAACTTCCTTAAAGACAGGGACTGTTGCGGTATGAATGTCTGACAATTCTTCATATTATGGCTCTGAAGCAGAAGGTCTTCATATGTATTTGCCAGGCTTAATAATTTGTAGAGAGGGCATTACACAAACCATCAGCTCAGCTTCCGAAGTATAATAGACTCAGGAATCAGCCTGGGGGCTGGGACGGTAATGGGGCATTTGGCTCTAGACCAAGATCAGCCTCCTAAATGGAATCTCAGTTATAATTATGGTTTGACTCAGTGTCCTAGGACAGGGCCCCCATCAAATAGTGTTCTGTCACTCATTCAAGTCAGTCCTGGCTCTGTCAGTCACTGCAAGCAATTCCCACAAACATGCTTTTTAAGTCATGGTGGCAGGGGTGGGAAAGGATGGAGGAAGCAGAGACAGCCAGGAAAAGGTGTATGTCATTGAGAAATCCTAACGTGGCAACCTGTGCTTCTCAGCCAGGGTTCCAGCACCCCTGGCATGTCCAGGACATCCTTCTGGCACCTCATTTTATTCACTGGCAAAGGATCAGTGATTTTAAAATGGGGAGTTATAAAGTCACATACGAAATTTTCAGGATTGTTAGAGAAACTTTCTCTTTGAACTGGGCTGCTTTGGGTGACATTCCCAGAAGCCCCCTCCCCCTTTCCCTAGGAAAACATTTGCCTCTGCCTGTTGCTGGGGTGTTGAAGATCTGAAATGTGAGAGGCATTCCATTAAGCTTGTTAGACCACAGTGTAAATTACTGTGTCCAACTAACCCCAGCAAAGAAACCGGGGAGAGGGGATACATTTTGCTTTGTGGAAAGACAGGGTTCAGGTGACATCCCTTAGTGGGCAGAAAAATGAATGTCTTGAGTTTCCCAGGGGAAAGAAGGAAAGAAAGAGAGAAAAGGGATGAGGGGTACTGCCTACTCTGCCTCCAGTTGCCATGAGAAAGGCTGGTGGTGAACCTGCTCTGGGGACCGTCTGTGGCCATCCCATTCCTTGTCCTGCCCACAGCAGACAGCAGGGCCTCTGAGCCAGACCTGGGGGGTGGTCCAGCGGCATCTCTGAGGGGAGACGAAGGGAAGACCACCACAGGAGTTCGCTCTGAGTAACCTGACTGCACTCCCACTCCATGAGGCCACATGTACAAGCAGGGAAGTCCGCCCAGCCCAGGCTCAGTCCTCAGCAGACATACCTGTCTCAGCATCGATCTGAAAACCATGTACCGGAGTCGCTTGGTGAGGATCTCCCCGGCTTTGCCAAACGTGAAGCCCTGTGAATGAGAACACGCCACAAGAAAGGAGACCTATCAGAGACCCTGACACTGATGACACAGAGGGCAGGAGCCCGGATGTCACTGCTGAGAGGACACGAGACCAGGTCAGAAAGCCTGATGTCAGGCTTGGCTATGTTTCGGTCACTATGTTCCATGGTACAGAGCCACACTGGTGGGTGGGGCCAGGAGAGCCCAGTTTTGAAATCATTACTCCCCCATTACTGGCAGGATGATGAGAGATTTATTAGGAAGTATGTTTCTTTCTCCTGACTCCTATCCCTGTTATTTCTCCCAGGGAGCCGGGGTCTGTCACCCAGGAAGCTCAAGTTGTTTCTAAGGCAGAGGCACTCGAAGAAGGATGGCTGTATTATGTGTCATCCAAACCAGGACACACTGAAAATGCCAAAATGATGCTGTTAAGAGATACACCAGGACCTGAGGTGTTGTCTGGGAAAACAGAAATATTTAGCCACCCCAGCCATAAAGGAAGCAGGGAACAAAGATAGCAAATTCCTAGTTTCCAAGTTTAAAAAAAAAAAAAAAAAAAAAGCTAAAGTCTTGGAGCAAAACAAGCTGGGCAAGAAGGCTGACGAAGAGAGAATTTTCTGCCCTGGCCCTCTCCTTCCTCCAAGAATCTAACCTTCCACATCTGGGAGGAGGGAGGAGTTCCTCTGGGAAATAGAGTCCCATGTGAGTGTGCTGCCATGCCTGGCCACATCTGGGGAGGAAGGGCAACAGAACCCTCATCCCAATGCATGTGGGGATACAGGACCAGGAAGAAGCAGTGCTCCCCATCCTTCTGGAGCTCCAGGAAGTGAGAGTCTACAGATAAGGGCTGCCACACAATGGCATGGGGGAAGCAGAGTGGAAATGGCCCATTGCGCATCAGAAGAGGAGAGGCCCTAATAACAACCCCATTCCCTACAGAATCAGAGAGGTGGAAAAGGGCAGTTATAGCTCCTCTGTGGCCCCAGCTAGTATATGAGCATTACTGAGAGAGGGAAGAAACAGAGGCAAAGAGCATAAGTGAAGAAAGAGCTAATTCTTCAGAGTGGTTCGATAAAGGGGGACAGCCTGGTAGGACCATATAACTGAAGGCCGCGGGCCATACCAGTTGCCAGCATGAAGCAGGCAGGCAGGTGATACCCACAGACCATCCCCCTGCACCCCTCTGCTAACAGAGACACTGACCCAGGAGGAGGAGGAAAGGGAGAAATGCTAGATTCATTGAATTAAAGCCTGAAATTACTAAAACAGTTTAATTGACTTAGAAATGGCCAGACTGAGGTTTCTCTACTAGACTGAATGAAATGTGAATTATCTTGCTCACTACAGGAATATTACTATTTTTGTCGAGACCTAGTTGTTCAGTGCTTAGCCTGACACTGTAAGTTTATATAAAATACCTGTATGTATACATAGGACAACGCTTTTAGTGATGGAAGAATGTCACCTTTAGGACAACTGTAAAATCACTACTTTACAAAAGAAACTGAGGTTTAGTTGCCAAAGGACCCAAATGTAAGGTGGCAGAGGTGGACTGTGAATCTGGGGTTATGAGAATCCTAACTAGAATGGGAACCCAGAGCCTGAAGTCTTATCACCCACAGAGCTCCCTCCTTTTGTTTCCAAATCAGGGGTAGGGACTCTAATGTTGTTGGCCACTTTGCCATCTCTGTAGTTCTGAGGTCCTATATTAGAGCCTGTTTCCACGCAGTTTTGCTAGGCAAGTCAGACTCCTGTCTCCCCAAGCATCATCACATTACAAAGGGAACTGCCTTCCCTGCCTTTGCTTTCCCAGTTCAAATCTCCAGAGTTGAAGGGAGCAGCTCAAAGCCTACCGCCCTCAAAATCCCTCAACCAACTTCACACTCACGAATCTTTATGTTCTATGGCATTAAGAGTTGCTACAGTAATCTTCCATTTGGGTAAAACATTCTGTAATGCTTAGGCCAAATTACCCAATGACATTTTAAGTGCTTAGTAAAGAAAGAGTTCATTCAGTCATTTTTCTTTTGTACTTCTTATAAGGTAAAAAAAACCAAACCCTTTCTGTCTATATAAAAAATTAATACATGCCTACAACACATTAAATATAGAGACCTATTCAGAATTTTATCTTAAAAAATTACATATGGCTAATATCTATTCCTTCAATAAGTAACTGAGTGTTTGCTACTGCCTCCCACAGGCCTGGGAACATGATCACATGATTCCTTTTTCTTCTTTTTCTTTCTTTTTCTTTCTTCTCCTTCTTTTTCTTCTTCTTTTTAATGGTGCGGTTGTTTAATTCCTAGAATCCAGATATGAGGTATCCATTCCTATAGGAACTAGTTGTGTTTCCTATTGTAGTCAAAAAGATTTGTTTGGATACAATAAAGCTAGCTTTGTAATTTGTAATACACACACACACATTATTCCTTCCTTCGATTTTTCTGGCATATCTAAGTTTGTGGTAAAACTTCCAATATGCAGGAACTTGGGTGGCTCAGTTGGTTAAGCAACTGCTTTCAGCTCAGGTCATGATCCTGGAGTCTGGGGATCGAGTCCTGCGTTGGGCTCCCTGTTTGGCGGGGAGTCTTCTTCTCCCTCTGACCCTCCCTCCTCTCGTGCTCTCTCTCTCTTATTACCTCTCAAATGAATAAATAAAATCTTAAAAAAAAACAAAACAAAACAAAACAAAAAAACAAAAGAACCTTTCAATAGGCATTGTGTCTCCAGTCTGCAATGGGGCAGACATCATGCTTGTGCAACCTTAAGGAGCCCGTTCAAACCCATGAACCAGACACTTGTCCTAAAAAGACATAAAGATCTGTTGGCACTTTCCCAGGGAGTGCTTCTGTGTTAAAAAGTTTAGAAGGTGGAATTGGCTCCTGGAATTATATTTGGAAGATGAGTTCAGGAAGGCTGTTGTTAGCAGGCTTTACCCTCTGGGGGACTCAACAGCAAGTAAGTAGAGCTTGCCTGGGGACAACAGCTTCTTCTGGAGGAAAGACAGCCTAACAGATTGGTGTAGGATGGACCAGAAGCTCTTCAAGGTCAAACTTTTTTCAGGATCCAGCTTTACAAATAAGCTTCTTGCCTCTGAGGATAGAGTCCTCTCTTCCATGTTTCAAACATTACAGGAAACAATTTCCTTCCTTCAACTTTATCCAGTTGGGTATTTATCACATCAGAACAAAGGGGGAAAGGCGTTTTAAAACTGATGTTGAGACCGGCAGTCTTGACGACTCCTCCAGCTATAATCACAGACACACCAACAGTAGCATCAATCGTGGTTGCAATGGCACCTCCAGGAGGGAATCCAGGAGTTCCTTGCATATAAGAACCTCCTTACGATACGCAAACTAGCCTTTCTGATTATGAAACATTGTGTATTCAAAGCCGCTAGGCCCTCCTCAAGGCTTCTGGGAAAGAGCTGGGTCTATGACATTTGCTCTTCTTTTATAAGCTTTGTGTCAGGAGAAAAAGATTTTGAAGTCTTGATCTTTCAAGTAGATTTACATTTACATGAAGACGTTTCCAAGAGATGTCTTCACTTTTCTTCATGAGTCAAAGCTCCAGCTGGGGCTAGGAAGAGGATGGTCCTTATGAATTCCTTCCGGGAAGAAAACGACCTCAGTGCTGGCCACGGCTCCCTTGCCTATGGGGACGCGCCTGCCCAGAGCACCAGAGGCCTCTGGGCATGCGCGAACATTGCTGCTCCACCGCCGGGCTCTGCCAGACAGCTGCCTGGCCGCCTGCTCCAAGGCTCCTCTCCAGACACGGAAAGGACATATGACACTGGTCACATTATTCATTTTAATCATCAAGAGGAAGGTACTAACATTCCTATTTTACAGATGAGGAAATCGAGGCTTAGTGTACATTATTTATTTGCCTGAAACCACAAAATTAGGAACTGGTGCAAAGCATACTCAAACTTCACCTTACCGCACTCAACTTTTAGAGCTCTGAATTTCTTTGCAATTGTTTCACCCAAATGATGTGCAGCTGTAAAATCTGACTCTTAACAAAAGGGTCTACAGTTTCTGTTTAGGGCTGACATTCTTCCATCATTAAAAATGTTCCTTCTCCTTTAGCAAAAGGTGAATGAAAAACTCTTCAAACATTTTTTAGATTGGTGCAACTTGCTTACCATGTCTTGCTTTTTGTTGTTTTCAGGATATACCAAGACATGTTGAGGATTTAAACCAACTGGCAGTACTTATACTCAAACTCAAGCCCGGGATTCCCCTGAATTCCATTTTTGAGTCCCCAGTTTTCATGTCTAATCATCAGATTAGATCAAACACCTTCTTCCCTCTGATTTCATTAATATTTCATTTGGGAGAGGTGGTGGTGGGTGGGGGGGAAGGTAAGCAAGTGCTCCAGTGGAAGCGAAACATCTTTGTTTTAAAATACTTTTATTTTTAAAATTTTACTTATTTATTCATTTGTTTGTTGACGAGAGAGAAAGTGTGTGAGTGGGGGGAAGGGACAGAGGGAAAGGGAGAGAAAATTAAGTAGATTCCATGCCCAGCATAGTACCTGAGTTGGGGCTCGATCCCACGACCCTGAGATAAAATCAAGAGTTGGATGCCTGTGACTGAGCCACCTGGGTGCCCCAAATCATTTTCGTTCTAAATATGTCAAAGAAACTTGGATGCTAGTAGTCCAATTAATAGAGCAAATTACATAAGTGTTTAGAAATTTCCCCAGCTGAACAAGAATGCATTCCCGAAAATGAACAAAGTGAAAACGCAGACACTTACCTGAAGAAAGAATGTAATAAAAGAAATAATTCCAAGGACTAGAAACAATAAAGAAAACATATTACTATTCTGTCTTTTTGTTTCAAGTTCCTCATTTCTGGTAAAAACCTGTTGAGAAAATATTTACAGGTTTTCAGTTCAAAGACTAAGGAAGCCATTCTGGGTCTGACCCATTTCCCATCAAGCACAATATTTGGGGGTCAAGATAGGCTTAGTATAATGGAAGTCAGGGCTGGTTTCCCTAATGCCAAACCTAAAGGTGTGCAAACTTTGTCTTCCTTAAGGGCCAAGAATGGGTCTGTTGCTCCTAAAGGACCCAATACTTATTCTGCGTATACTTCCTCTTAGAGTAATGAGTGCCACAAGGCCATACCAGATACATAAAGTAGAAATGAGAATAAATACTGTCCTCTTTTGGTGGGAAACTACATTGTATGGCAATTTGTTGTTTTACAATTTGGACATTGCAAGCTAGAGAGAAATCTGTCAATGCCATTTTGGTAAACCAGAGAGAGGCAGTCATTCACTGAACCCACACCCTCGGTAAGAAAGGAGCCTCCTTGAGCCAGCCTCTTTTGTAGGATGGGCAGTTTAGACAGTCAGCTGACCCAGCACCACACATGGAGATCTTTCCAGAGATGGTAAGAAAGCTAATACGATGTCTTGGGCTTAGAGAGCACAGAGAAAAACTACTTCACAGGGAAAGAAAACAAACAACTCCCTCCATAATGGGCCAAAATTGTCTGTAACAGAGCTACATTCCTAACCCAACCCAGTAAACTTTATTCTTTTTATAGGAAAAAAAAAATTCCACCCCAAAATAGCTAACAATCAGTAAGCTCTTATCCTGTGATAGATATTACTCTATACAAATTCATGTGTACCATTCTTTTTATCCTCACAATCACCTCCTAACATTTATTATCATCATGACTTTACACAGAGGCACAGAGAGGTTAATTAACTTGTTCAAGATAACACAGCTGGCAAGTGTTGACCCCAAGATTTAAACCTGAGCCATCTAACTTAGAGCCCACAACCTTAAACCCTGTGTTACAAACCATCAACGGGGTGGATGACTGGTTGCCTAACCAATATCTAGGAGTCTGTGTGCTAGCCCTGGGTCACTTGCTTCCAGACTTACCATGACATGAGGAATGAAGACAATATAAAATCCTTCGGTTGAGTTTTTGTTACACACAGCCAAACCCATTCCTAATGAATCCACTTCCATTTTTTTTTTTTTTTTTCTGATGATGCCACTGTCTATCTCTCTGCCTATACCACAAATGCTAGACCAGGAATCAGTTCCCTGGGGACCACCGGCCAAATGTTTCTATAAAGCTTCCATGGCATATTGCCATGTTCATTTGTTTCTGCACTATGGGTGCTTCTACACTCCAACAGTAGAGCTAAATATTTGCAATGGAGACCATATGGCGCCCAAAATCTAAACTGTTTACTCCCTTACCCTTTATAGAAAAAGTCTGCTAACCCCTGTCCTAGAACATATGCTCCATGCTATCAAACACTTTATCTCCCTCTTGGCATTTTTTTTTTTTTAACACCTGGAACAGTATGTGGCACAGAGCCGTCACTGCAAAAATATTTATTGAATGACTACATGGAACATACGAATACCAAAGAAAAGTCAGTTAGCCAGGCACGGGGAGACCTGCACATTTGTGTATTTTTTGGTACATCAGAAGTTCGTGTTTGGCCTCTTCCATGCAGGGAGCAACTCCTTTCTCTGTAATGTTTTTAGCCGTTATGGCAAGGGTATCCTCAGCTTGCTATCTGAACATCTACCACAAAACAAAGAGCATTCCTGCCTGGGCAGTGGCTAATGTTAAAAAACGTCATCATTAAAAGCAGATACAACCAACATACATCAATCTTTCGGAATCCATTCCTTTTTGTTTTCATCTGAACAAGTGGGATGGACATCTTACAGAGGCAGCGTGCCAGGCCTGCTCACACCCTGACGAGTGCGTATGTCACACCACAGCTCTGTCTCCAGTCAGTCTGACAAACACACCTTGAACTCTCTCTGTGCACCAGGGATAGGACTTTTCATGACGTTTACTCAGAGCCCATTGACGGCAGGTGAGACACTCAGGTGAGGTTCATATCATAGACTACTTCAGGAACCTAGGCCCTAAGAGTAACTAACTGCGGGGACAAAGGCAGGCTTGAAAAATTAGCCTTCCTATCCCAAAGCAGACTTACATCCTCAAGTTGCTAAGTTTCATAAGAAGGTACAGTATTTTTTGTGGCTTATGTATGCAGCTACAAATAGAAACAGCTCATTCTTTACTCAGGACTCACAGATAAATCCAGAAAATGAACATAAACACTTACCCCTATAATCCTTGAGAATATTACTGAAAAGGCTGGTTGCAGGCCTCCATTTATGATAGCACAAAATATACCAACCACAAAATAAGGCCATTCAGTTATATTCAGCTTCAGAATCCTCCAGAAGGAAACTGGAGGTACATTTTCATTCTGGAAAGCAAAATAATACAACAAGCTAGTTATAAAAAGAATTGATACTTTTTATCAATTTAATGAGACACAGTCCTTCGGTATGTAGCAAATCTTTTAAAAAGATTTTATTTATTTATTTGAGAGAGAGAGCGATTGAGAGAGAGAAAATGCTCAGGGGGAGAGGGAGAGCGAGAAGCAGACTGCCTTGCTGAGCAGAAAGCTGGATGTAGGGCTTGATGCCAGCTGAAGGCAGATGCTTAACCAACTGAGCCACCCATGTGCCCCTCTACCAAAATTTTTAAAGGAAGGTATCTTATTCCTGTTTATGAGTTGATCGTTATTTAATTTTTTAAAAAGTACTGACAGATTCTATTATATTGCTCTTTTATAGTTTAAGAAATAAATGATATTTCCACGAACATTTAACACTTACCTGATATTTGGAGTATTTACAAGTACAGATAAAAGAAGAGAAGTGTCCACATTTGAAGACCCATTAGAATCTCTTTATATCACAGAGGCCCCTGAATGGCTCAGTCGGTTAAGCATCCAGCTCTTGATTTTGGCTCAGGTCATGATCTCAGGGTCTTGAGATCAAGCCCTGTGTCCAGCTCTGCACTCAGCAGGGAGTCTGCTTCTCCATCTCCCTCAGTCCTCCTCCCTCCGGCCCACCCCTTCCCCGTGCATGAGTGCCGGCATTAAGAAATAAGTAAATCTTAAAAAAAAAAAAATCTTGGGCACCTGGGTAGCTCAGTGGGTTAAAGCCTCTGCCTTTGGCTCATGTCATGATCCCAGGGTCCTGGGATCGAGCCTCGCATCAGGCTCTCTGCTTGGCAGGGAGCCTGCTTCCTCCTCTCTCTCTGCCTGATTCTCTGCCTGTTTGTGATCTCTGTCCGCCAAATAAATAAATAAAATCTTTAAAAAAAAATCTTTACATTATAAGTTCTAATTCTAAAATTCTTGTCTTATAAATTTTCATTCATGAATTATAACCTGAAGTCTAAAATGTTGAGATTTTGGTTTGTGGAACATTTTGGGAATAGGACAGGAGGATTCTACAGAACCCTTTTTTATTCCCACTCCTGCTACCCCAGAGCTAGCCCAGAGGGAGGACTGAAGACATAACTAACTCTACATCCTCTCCGTACCAAGTCCTCTTCTGTCCCAAGCTTTCTGTCCTGGCCTTGTGGGGCATGTATACTCTTGCGAGTTGATCTTCTCCTTATTAAACTGGATCCTGAGTCTTTTGGAGGCATTTCCAAGGCATCAATTTCACTTTTGGATTCACTAATTGCATTTTCTAATTCAATTTCATTTCCTCTTGTCTAAAATAAATAAGAAATAAGCACAAAAAGGTTAGGTTCAAAAAATAAATAAAAATTACAGCTATCAAGGAAGGTGGTAATTTACATCACTGTAGGAAAGGACAAAGTTAAACTGCTGCTCAGAGTGTGGGGTTGTGTGTAAATGGGTGGTACATTTGAAAATTAAACCCGCTAAAGGGGGATTGCCACTGAATATGCTGAAATAACATGACATCCCTTCCTCGTATAGTACCTTGTCATCTCCTTTTTCTGGGTGTTTTGGGGCTCAATAATATTTGCTTTGGGCCAGCGCTATCAACGGAAATATGGCGCATCCCATTCTGTGACCCACATTTATCATTTAAAATTTTCTCAGTAGCCACATTAAAAAATGCGAGAGAAAAATCCATTTTTACTCTGCATTTTATTTAACCTACTGTATCTAAGATATTAGCATTTCAACATGTAATCATTGTAAAAACTTACTGAGATCTTTTGCATTCTTCTTTTGTACCACATCTTTGAAATTTGGGATGCATTTTCTATTTAAAACTTCAATTCAGAATAATTGTCACTGAAGTATTCAATAGCCACATGAGGCCAGTGGCTACTACAGTGGATAGATGACCTTTAAACCTTTTTAAACTTTTAATTTTCTCCAATTATCCTTCTTTATTTCCGCTCCCTTTCAATGGGAAGAAAAATCTGGTCTGAATTCCCTAAGTATTTTTCTCACCTATCAAGATAATCAAGTAAAGTAACATTTATTTATAGTACTAAACACAACAAATCAGTTTGTACTTGAGATATTTCAGGAAAACTCTAGACTTGGACTATACCTGCATTGTGACGAGTTTGAAATAAATGCCCTTCTCTTTCATGAGTTCATCATGATTTCCTTTCTCCACAATGACTCCATCATCAAAGCCAGCGATGACATCAGCATTACGAACTGTAGACAAACGATGAGCTATCACAATGGTGGTCCGGCCTTTTCTGGCCTAAAGAGAGAAAAATTAGGTTTTTGAATACATGGACAATTACAGACAAAAATTCATTCAATTTATATTTACTGAATGCCAATGCCTTGGATATTGTAAAACCATCTAAGCTATATAAGGTCATCTCTGGCTTCAGTAAATGTTTAGTCAACAGATCATGGTTTTAAATGATGTTTTATTACAATAAAATTATAATATAATTTTAATAATATTAAATAATATCAACCATTATTAACATTAATAATTAATAATATTAATAATTTTGTAATCATACAATTATATGATTATAACTATATAGTTATATTGATGGTTAATAATATTATTAATATAATATTTAATAATATTATAATAAATGAACACAAATGTGATAGTCACATATTAATAAACTTCTAAGAATTTTACTCAACCTCTATCAGCCTGAGTTTATAATAATAATCAGGGGCTTATCCAAAATAAAAAAAGCTATAGTCCAGGCACTGGCCAATCAGAGCAGACCCAAGCCAGTGTGTGGTATGGGTACAGACTAGACACCATCAGTCTGGGGACTCCTGGTGTCCCATTTCATGGAACTTCTGGATGATTAAGATGGACAATCAGTGTGAGGCAGCAAAGTCCAGTCTTCAGTGCCAAACTGATCTGACCTCAAATCTTAGCTCTGCCATTTATGAATTCCACAATTTTATCCAAATCTTTTAACCTGTGTGAGGCTCATATAAAATGGAGATAATATTAATACTGATTTCTTCAAGTAGTTGTGATGACCAAATAATATAACGTACACAAAGCATTGTGATATGTATACAATATTAGTTATTGTAATGCTACTTATTCCTAGGTAGATGCATTATGGAAAAACTGAAGAGCTATGCAAATATTTTTAAGTACTTGGTGTCATTTTTGTTTAATATGAAAGAGGTCAAAAGAGTTTAATATGGAAACAGAACATTCTGAGATTTCTTTCACCTCTGTAACTTTCCCCAAGGCTTTGACTTTTGACTTTGTATCTCTCTCCAGGAACTAGCAATAAAATCCTCAAACTAACAATACGAGGTTATTAGGATCAATATAAAGAAGAGACGTGGAAAACTCTAATAAGAAGAAAACAATACATGTAGAAAAATTAGGTGGTAGCAACTAGAAGTTAGAGAAGATAATGAATCAATTCTTTGGATGTTTTTAAGAAAAGGGGGGCATTTGGAATTCTCCCCCCAAAGTTTATATCCTAAAGGAAAAATATTTTTTAAGAGTTAATGTATTTTGGGGTGGGTGGGGAGGGTAGAGGGAGAGAGAGGGAATCTTGAGTTGTTTTTTTTTTTTTTTAAAGATTTTATTTATTTATTTGACAGAGAGATCACAAGTAGGCAGAGAGACAGGCAGAGAGAGAGGGGGAAGCAGGCTCCCTGCTGAGCAGAGAGCCTGATGCGGGGGCTCGGTCCCAGGACCCTGGGATCATGACCTGAGCTGAAATCAAGAGTCAGATGCTCAACCAACTGAACCACCCAGGTGCTCCTCAAGAAGTATCTTTAGTACAACCTTTAAAATCATTTTTATTTATAATTTAATACATATTTCCACTGTAGAATAATAAGGAAACACAGAGGTAAAGTACAGATAAGCAAAGTGAAGGGAGAAATTGCAGCCACAATCCCATCTGCCTCTATTTTGGTTCACTCCGTTTTTAGTAACTTGCTTTTGCCTTCCTCAACAATCTATTAAACACATTGACAGGATGTTTAAAGGAACATCCAGTGTCATTTTGTTATTAGGGAAGGGGAAAGCTGGAACAAATATGAATTCATCTTTGAATTCTACTGTGACACTTCTACTCAGGGCACTTCTGGGTTAAAAGGTCTTCACATTCTGGAGAGGAAGATGGTAAAGTAGGAGGACCCTAGGTCCATCTCCTCCCACAAACACAACTAGGTAACTATCATATCATCCTAGATACCTGAGAAATCCACCTGAAGACTGAAAGAACAAACTCCGCAACTAAGGAGAGAGAGGAGGCCTCACTAAGAAGACAGGAAGTTAGGAGATGTGGTTTAGGGAGAAACAGTGCCGCAGTGGTGGTGGAAAAGGGCATGTGAGAGAGGGAGAAAGACAGAGAGAGAGGAACACATAGGGAACTCACATGCAGAGTATTTCCCCAAAGCCACTGGCTTGGGAAGCAAGATGGGCTGGATTTTGTGAATTCTTGCAACCATCAGGGCTTAAAGCCTAGAGTTTTAAAGGTCAGTAGGTTGGCTGGGATAAAGCTTGGGGGCCACCACGCTGGTCCTGGAAAGAAGGCAGACAAATAACCTGGGAGTGGATAGCATGGAAACCGTGACCTGAAAAATGGGTGGGGTACACTGGGGGATATTATTCACTCTTTGCAAAGCATATCCCTGAGAGGCACTGTTGGAGGAGACACCTATCTGGGAACAAAGGAGCTGGCTGGCACCATTTCCCTTCCCCACCCCTCAGCATAAACACAGCACCAGTCACTTGAGGAAAGCAGCTCAGCTCAGACAATGGCTGCCTAATTTGCTTAAACCAAACCCCACCCTCCTGTGCTCTGGAGGGACTGCCTTCTAAGTCACGCTGGCCTCAGAGGGAGCATGGTAAGCCCCTCCTCCAGAAGACCAGCACAAAACCCTGCCCACTCCCTATCTCCTGACCAGTGAGTTCTACCAGGCCTCAGTTCTGGTAGAGTTGGTGTCAGATCTCATTTCACAAGCAGACAAGAGCACCCCTAGCTAAAACTCACCACATTCAGGCCAGGGACCAAACACTACCTACAGCAGACAGGAAGAGCCTCTGTAAATGACTGGCCTTAAGGACAGAGCAACCAAAACACAACAGCAGAGTGCACACAGCACACATCATTGACACTCCCTGAAGCACCAGGCCCTGGATACTACATGACCTCTTCTTCATAAAGCCATTATCTTCTGGAAGCAGGCAACATAAATGGCTTTTGTAGCACATAAAAGAAGGCAGAGACTTAGACAAAATGTCAAGATGGACGAATTTATCTGAAATGAGAGAATAAGTCAAAGCCATGGCCTGAGAATTAAGCAAAACAGAGATAAGTAACATTCCTGATGGATAATTTAAAGCAACAATCATAAGGACATTCATTGGGCTTGAGAAAAGAATAGAAGACATCAGGGAGACCCTTACCAAAGAGATAAGAGAGTTAAAAAAGAATTAGAGATGAAGAATGCAATAAAGTTTGCAAGTTTGGAAACAGGTATGATGCCATGAACAGCAGACTGGGAGGAGCAGAGGAATGATTTAGTGACCTAAAAGACAAAACAATGGAAAATAATGAAGCTAAACAAAAGAGAGAAAGAAAAATTACGGAACATGAGAATAGACTGAGGGAACTCGGTGACTCCATCAATCATAATAACATTCATATTACAGAAGTCCTAGAAGAAGGAGAGAGAGAAAAGGGGGCAGAAAATTTATTTCAAGAAACCATAGCAGAAAGCTTCCCTAATCTGGGAATGAGACAAGTGTTCAGATCCAGAAGGAACAGAGAACTTCCATCAAAATCAACAAAAGCAGGCCAACACAAAGACTTATTGTAACTAAATTTGTGAAATATAGTGATTAAAAAAAATCTTAAAGGTGGCAAGACAAAAGAAATCCTTAACTTACAAGGGAAAATCCATAAAGTTAGCTGGAGCTCTCTCAACAAAAACTTGGCAAGCCAGAAGGGAGTGGCATTATATATTCTAGGTGCTGAATAGGAAAAATCTGCAACCAAAAATACCCTATCCAGCAAGGCTACCATTCAGAATAGAAGCAGTGTCAAGAAATATGCCAAACAAAAACTAGAGGAGTTTGTGATCACTAAAATGAGCCCTGCAAGAAATATTAAAGGGGACTCTTTGAGTGTGGAGAGACCAAAAGTGACAAAGACAAGAAAGGGTCAGAGAAAATCTCTACAAATAATGACAAAGCAAGTAATAAAATGAAAACAAATACAAACCTATCCATAATTACTTTGAATATAAATGGACTAAATAATCAAAAGACATAGCGTATCAGAATGGATAAAAATACAAGACCCATCTTTATACTGCCTATAACAGACTCATTTTAGACCCAAAGATACCTACAGATTGAAAGTGAAGGGATGGAGAAACATTTATCATGCAAATGGATGTCAAAAGAAAGCCAAAGTAAATACTTATATTGGATAAACTAGACTTTAAAACAAACAAAAAAAAGAGACAACGAAGGGCATTCTATAATCATAAAGAAGACATTCCAACAAAAAGATATAACAACTATAAATATCTATGTACTCAACAAGGCAGCACACACACACAAAATATATATATATTACATATAATATTATATATATACATAATATATAGACAAATATATACACATATATATACATATATATACATAATATATATATATTACATATAATTATAAAAGTACTAATTGATAATACAATAATAGTAGGGGAACTTTAACATCCCACTTACATCAATGGACAGATAACGCAAGCAGAAAGTCAACAAGGAAACAGTGGCTTCGAATGACACACTGGACCAGATGGACTTAACAGATGTATTCAGAACATTCTATCCTAACACAGCAGAATATATATTCTTTTTAAGTGCACATGGGATATTTTCCCAAACAGATCACATATTAGGCAACACAACAGACCTCAACAAATACAAAAAGAGGAAATCATACCATACACCTTTTCTGGCCATGCATAATGAAACTAGTAATCAACCACAAGAAAAAATTTGGAAAGACCACAAATACATGGAGGTTAAACAACATGCTACTAGAGAATGAATAAGTCAACAAGGAAATCAAAGAAATTTTAAAAACTCATGGAAACAAATGAAAATGAAAACAAAACAGTCCAATACCTTTGGGATACAGCAAAAGAAGTCTTAAGAGGGAACTATATAGCAATACAGGTGTATGTCAAGAAGCAAAAAAAAAAAAATCTCAATAAACAACCTAACATTATACCTAAAGAAACTAGAAAAAGAACAACAAATGAAGCCCAGAGCCAGCAGAAAGAAGGAAATAACAAAGACTAGAGCTGAAATAAATGATATAGAGACTAAAAAATAAGTAAATAAATAAACAAAAAAAACAAAAAACAAAAAACAAAAAAAACAATAGAATAGGTCAGTGAAACCAGGAGCTGGTTCTTTGAAAAAAACTAATAAAACTGATAAACCACTAGCAAAACTTATAAAAAAAAAAAAAAAGATAGGAAAGACCCAAATAAATAAAATCACCGACAGGGAAAAAAAAAAAAAAAAAGAAAAGAAAAAAAAACAAGCACCACAGAAATACAAACAATTATAAGTGAATATGATGAAAAACTATACACCAGCAAACTGGACAACTTGGAAGAAATGGATAAATTCCTAGAAACATAAATACTACCAAAACTGAAAGAAGAAGTTGAAAACTTGAACAGACCCATAACAGCAAAGAAATCAAATCAGTAATTGAAACACCTCAAAATACAAAATCTAGGGCCAGATGGCTTCAGAGGAACTTATACCAAACATTTAAAAAAGAGTTAATACCAATTCTTCTCAAACTATTCCAAAAAACAGAAAAGGAGGGAAAACTTCCTAATTCATTCTATGAGGCCAGCATTAACCTGATACTGGAACCAGACTGAAACTCCACTAAAAAAGAGAACTACAGACCAATATGATGAGCAGAGATGCAAAACTTCTCAATAAAATACTAGCAAACCAAATCCAGCAATATATTAAAAAAATCATTCACCACAATTACTGGAGATTTATTCCTGGGTTGCAAGTGTTGCTCAATATTCTCAAATCAATCAACATGATACACCACATTAACAAAAGAAAAGATAACCATTTCATTTCATTTCAATGGACACAGAAAAAAGCTTCAGACAAAGGACAACATTCATTGATGATAAAAACCCTGAACAAATTAGGTTTAGAGGGAACATACTTCAACATCACAAAGGCCATCTGTGAAAGACCCACAGTTAATATCATCCTCAATGGGGAAAAACAGAGCTTTTCCTCTAAGGTCAGGAACACAACAGGGATGTCCACTCTCACTACTGTTGTTCAAGATAGTACTTACTGGAAGTCCTAGCCTCAGCAATCAGATAACAAAAAGAAATAAAATTCACAGACCCGTACTCCTGAAGCAAATAATACATAATATGTCAATTCAAAAAAACACAACCTATTTAAAGGCATTTAAATAATGCAATGATTAAAAAGGCATTAGCTGAAAAAAAGAAAAGGAAAGAAAGAAACCCACAACTATATGGTCAGCTGGTCTTGGTAAAGCAGGAAAGAACATCCCCTGGGAAAAAGTCTCCAATAAATGGTGTTGGGAAAACTGGATAGCAACATGCAAAAGAATCAAACTTGACCACTTTCTTGCAGCATACACAAAAATAAATTCAAAATGGATTAAAAACCTAAATGTGAGACCTGAAACCATAAAAATCCTAGAGGAAAACACAGGTAGTAAAAGATGTTAAAGATAACATCAGCTGTAGCAATTTCTTTCTAGGTATTTCTCCTCAGGCAAGGGAAACAAAATAAAAAATAAACTATTGGGACTTCATCAAAATAAAAACTTTTGTACAGTGAAGGAAATAATCAACAAAACTAAAAGGCAACCTACTGAATGGAAGAAGATATTTGCAAATGACGTATCTGTTGAAGAGTTAGTATCCAAAATAAGAACTTACAAAACTCAATACTCAAAAAAAAGTGTTCAACCACTATATTGTACACCTGACACTAATATTATATTGTATGTTAACAAACTGGAATTTAATTAAAAACTTTAGAGACTTTCATATTCCTTGTCCTCACAGAGCTAGGCTAATTATTACCAATACATGCCAGAGACCAAGCAAACAGTGCCCAGCACAGTGTAAGCTCTCAAATCTGATGTGGGGAATGAGACATGTGAAATCAAGGACTGCAGGAAGGTCAGACTCTGTTGACAGACAAGGACATTTCATGGCCCATGTAAGTTTCCAACATCAATTCTCTTCCCTTTTCCCAAGGACAAGAGATTTTGGTCATTTCCCATAGGATCTTCAGTGGGTATTTAACATCTTGAAAATTAAATGTGAACCTTCATTATATTTTCCTCTTATTGACAACAGCAAAAATAGAAAACCTAAATAATGAGGTTATCTCTACAGCCAAGTTTTCAAGATCACAACGAAGACCAATTTTCATTTGAATCTCTCTACCTCGTTGTTTAATTTTAAAATTTTGCAAGTTTCTCTCAGTGAAAGTTTATTCATTTCTACCTAAAAAAAAAAAATAGAGAAATAAATAGAAATGAAATGAACAGATTCAAAGAGGACTGGAGATGTGATTTTGAAACTTGACAGGATCATGTTAGGAGCCATCAGAAATGTCCTTTTTTTAAAAAAAATAATTTTCAAGGGGCGTCTGGGTGGCTCAGTTGGTTAAGCCTCTGCCTTTGGCTCAGGTCATGATCGCAGGGTCCTGAGATCGAGCCCCGCAATGGGCTCTCTGCTCAGTGGGGAGCCTGCTTCCCCCTCTCTCTCTGCCTGCTTCTCTGCCTACTTGTGATCTCGCTCTCTGTCAAATCAATAAATAACATCTTTAAAAAAAATAATTTTCAAGGAGAATTAACAGAGGGATGTCCCTATGCTTACAAATTAGGTTGGTTTGAATTGAGGCTCACAGACCTTATCCAGGGCCACCTGAACCACTGCTTCGCTTTCAGTGTCCAGGGCTGACGTGGCCTCGTCCAGCAGGAGGATCTTGGGGTTTCGAACCAGGGCCCGAGCGATGGCGATCCTCTGCTTCTGTCCGCCACTCAGCTGGGCCCCTCTCTCTCCAACCAGGGTGTCAAATTTCTACAACACAGAAAATAAAGTGGGGCGGGGGGACAGTTAGCAAAACAACAAGCTGTCAGCTACATTTTAAGATAGGAAGTAATCCCATAAACAACCTACAGGCAATATGATCCAGTTCCTTTAGAACTCGGCAATAACCAACCCCAATTTTTATCAATATGCCTACTAGGAATTGATGGTGCTAGATCAAGCTTTAAAATCTGAAGTCATCCAAACTTCTTCGGAGTTTCCTCTAATGCATAGTGGATTCCCAACTTCTTCTGCATTAGGCTGGCATTCCATTCTTTGAACCTCCAGCATGGCAGAGATCGAGAAGGACTTACATTGGGTAGTTTCATGATAAAGTCATAGGCGTTGGCTTCCTTAACAGCTTTCTCAATCTCTTCCATGGTGACATTCTCGCGGCCATAGCGAATGTTTTCAGCTATCGTGGTGGCAAACAGCACAGGTTCCTGACTCACCACACCAATAATTTCCCGAAGGTACCTTACATTGATGGCCCTAATGTCCTGTCCATCAATACAGACCTGAAATAAAAAGTAAGCGTGAGTTCTGTGCATTGCCAATTTGGAACATGAGATGGGCCCGGGGTAACCGCTGGTCACTGAACCATTGCTTTTGGCATGAGCCGCCTCACCGTGCCGTCTGTGGGGTCGTAGAGCCTTTGCATTAGCTGCACCGCTGTGCTTTTCCCGCAGCCGCTGTTCCCAACCAGCGCCACTGTCTGCCCACTCTCCACCGTCAGGTTGAGGCCCTTCAAGATCTAACAGGGCAGAGGATCACAGGGGAAGGGAGGGAAAAATGAAACAAGATGAAACCAGAGAGGGAGACAGACCATAATAGACTCTACATCCCAGGAACAAACTGAGGGTTGCTGGAGGGGAGGGGCGTGAGAGGGATGCGGTGGCTGGGTGATGGACACTGGGGAGGGTATGTGCTATGGTGAGAAAAAAACAAATTAAAAATAAAATAAAATAAAATAAAATAGGAGATGTCTTTAAAAATAATAAAAATAGGGGCACCTGGGTGGCTCAGTGGGTTAAAGTCTCTGCCTTTGGCTCAGGTCATAATCCCAGGGTCCTGGGATTGAGCCCCGCATCGGGCTCTGTGCCCAGCTGGGAGCCTGCTTCCTCCTCTCTCTCTCTCTCTCTCTCTGCCTGCCTCTCTGCCTACTTGTGATGTCTGTCTGTCAAATAAATGAATAAAATCTTTAAAAAATAATAATAATAAAAATAAATAAAAAAAAAAATCTAACAGGACAAATGAGAAATAAACATAAGGGCAATGCACAGATCCCGGGATTGTGAACTGACAGTTCAAGTCAAAACTAGGGGCACATATACATTTAAAAAAAAAGTCACTAAAATAAAGTATCAGAAACCCTTCCTCCAATCCATGGTTGAATCACTGATGAATCAGGTATCACCGTACCTTAACTTCCTTTCGAGATGGGTAACTGAAGTGAACATTTTTGAATTCCAAATTTCCCTTAATATTATCTGGTTTATGTCCATTCTTTGAATAGCTGTCAATGCGTGGCTTCTAAACAGAACACAGTTTCAGAAGATGACTAGGTTATACCGGCTATCTTTAGTGACATTTGTGGAGAGTGGGATAAAGCAATAAAGAAACTGACTTTTAGTTAGAGAAACTTTGGCATGGATAAATGGCTAGCCCAGACTTACATTGTCAATTATCTTGAAGATTTCGTAAGCGGCTCCTCTTGCGTTTGCAAATGCTTCAATGCTTGGAGATGCCTGTCCAATACTAAAAGCCCCGATTAATACAGAAAAGAAGACCTGAGGGATGTGAAGGAAAATCATCAAGTTACTTAGCATTTATTACAATTTTGTGCATACATCTTTCTTCTAACATAGTTAATTATTATTATTATTATTATTATTATTATCATTTGCTAATTCACTTTTAAAGTGGCAAGCCAACTTAGAGAGTCCTGGGTGTTAAAAACATTTTAAAAGTTTAAATCTTTTTGATTGACAATACAGGATTAGTCTTACTTGCCCAGTGAAGCAATGGAACAAGTTCCATGGAACGAGAATATAATAGAATATATATTTATTTAATGGCTAGTTATTTGGGTTTAGATCATCAGCAGGGCATAAAACAAACAAACATCAAAATGAGTGTCAGGAAACCAAGGTCCAAATTCTGGATAAGCCCTAACTGGCTATATGTCTTCAGGGAATTCTCCTAGTGTCTCCAGGCTTTGATTTCTTCATTTGCCAAACTAGGCAGGACTCCATCTGTTTTCCTGACCTGGAAACCTTAGAGTGAAACTGTACATACGAAAATATGTTGTAAATGAGAAAGCACACATCTAGAGTATTATATCTTGATCAGGTTGTCTTCTTTCCTTCTACCAGACTGTGTACTCTCTGAGGTCTGATAAATAGTTTTTTTTTTTTCATTTTGCCCAAATGAAGTTGTTTTTCTTCAGGGTTACAGAGAACTAATATCACTATTCATTTCTTTCTAAATCACACAGGAATTACCCATAATTTATACAGAAGAAATTTTGCTAAGTGATTCTTCATTCAGTTTCTCAGCTGGAACTTATAACTACATTCAAAGTTATGGCAAAGTATTCCTGCCATTTCCTTTTGGCAAAAGAGGTAGCAGAAACTTGAAAAGTCTACGTGGCTGGAATAATAAGTGGCTGGAATTTGAGCCAAGTCAGCCTGATTTCAAATCCCAAGCTCTTACTCATATTCTGCATGCTTCCAGTTTGTGAAGCCATTCTGGGATCAGTGAAAACAAAAATTGAAACTGCGTATCTACATCACAAGGAAGTAGAACACATTTCTTATTCCAACCTAGGCTCACCAATAGCATTACTATCCTAATGAAGGCTTTTGGTAAAAGCCATTCTTAAGTAAACAGCCTTGCACATTTTGGACAACACATTTATTATAGCCACATTACAAACCTGGTTCCTAAAAAAGGGAAGTGTTTTAAGGGACTCAACAAAATATGGTCACCAACAATATACTTGTGTTCAGCTTATGACAAAGGAATTGAGTGACTCTTCTAACAGTATGTACTTTCTTAGATCATGATACAGATTGAGCTTGGTTTATTAACTCTTTCACCATTTTTAAATAAAAGAGCATAGCTCAAATGACAAGCTTTCTGTGCTTCTGTAAATTTCTATAAGGCAGAGAACCTCCAAATAGAATATCCTTCAAGGAAGAGTAGTAATATTTCCATAACATTCCAAGGATGGACTAGCTGTCATTCAAAAGAATTTGAAAAACAGACAAATGGTGTATTTTGCCATTTGTCATTGTGAATAGTTAATCAGAAAATAAAAAATGAAATGCTTACCATTGAGCCTGCCACAAAGAAATCATCTCAACAAATGAGAGTTCATGCTATAGAGATTAGTGATGTTAACATTATTTAGGATGCAAGACAAACTGTGCAAGGGATCTGCAAAAAAGACACTCAATACATGTAATTTCCTTTCCACTTTTTAATCTAGTAGTACATAGCTCTTTGTATTGTTCAATAGTTCTTCAATACCTATTCTCTAACATCACTCAAGCCAACACCACTCAACTTCATTGGAATTTTTACAGGAGACTCATTTCTTAAAATAACATCACTTACAGTGAGTACTTTTCCAATAGTATATTCTTGGGAGAGGACCAAGGAGGTCCCATACCAGAATGCCAGAGCATATGATGCATAGATCAACAGGAAAGCAGCACCAATAGAAATGTTGGCCGTGATAGCTTTCTTGATCCCAATTCTTTTAGCTTCTTCTAAGTTTTTGTTGTACCTGGGAGAAGTAACAAAAACTATCACATCTACTCATAAATCATATGAAATGAGCCAAGACAGCATGATGGTTATTAAGTACTTAGAATGTGCCCAACCCTGTGGGAGGTGCTTAACATGTATTTTCTCCTTTTGTTCATGCATTGACCCTATGGTGTTAGCACTACTGTAATCCCTTCTTATAGAAGAGTAAATTTAGGCTTACTTATCTACAGAGATTAAATAACCTGGGGGAAAGTATTCTAAAATTTCTTCCCTGGCCTCAGCAATAGTGAAATATGCAAAATAATGTTTAGTAAACTTCCAGAACTTGTACTGTTCCATAGGCGAGACAAAAGAGAAGCTACAAAAATGTGTTTTCCCTTTAAAATCTGTATGCCGGGCGCCTGGGTGGCTCAGTGGGTTAAGCCGCTGCCTTCGGCTCAGGTTATGATCTCAGAGTCCTGGGATCGAGCCCCACATGGGGCTCTCTGCTCAGCAGGGAGCCTGCTTCCTCCTCTCTCTGCCTGCCTCTCTGCCTGCTTGTGATCTCTCTGTCAAATAAATAAATAAAATCTTTAAAAAAAATAAATAAAATCTGCATGCCTTTTAAGTTTAATAATAAGAAGCAGATGTAAGGCTAGAAAGTGCTCAACACAAAGCCTATAAATCACTGAACGTTTAAAGAAACGTAAGGAAGATTCTTTTTTCTTTTTTTTTTTTAATGTGGGCCCCATTAGTTTATCTCCATGTCTCTTCTCTTAAGAAGAATCTTTGTAAATATAGAATCAAGGTAAAATTATGAGAGAAATAAGACAGATTATAACTGAGTCTTAAACCTGTCTTTATCCTCTTAATCACATCTCCCTGGGAACTTAGACCATTGCCTTGTGGAAAGCGGAAGTTCATAACTGTAGAAAGAACTTACTTCCATATAAAATTAGTATTTTGAGGTCTTTGACCTATAAAAGCATGACTATACAAATGGGTAGTATTATATTATTTTTGTTGGAGGATTCACTCCCTGAGTTGGAATGTACAACAGAGATCGAGTTCTGTTCAGGTCAAGGCATGCATTCTTTCTTGCCTTGGTGACTTTTTTTACCTAGTTACTTTACCAGTTCAAAGTCTGCCAAATGAAACGTACATGACTACTATACCCACTAACAGACCAAATTTAAACAGAACTTTAAAGTGATAAAATAGTAACACATTATTAGAATTTCTCTCTGTAAAAGCATGTATTCCTAGCTTGCCAGTTATAATCTTAGTGTAAAAAAATTATTTTTGACTAAGGTGCTTCAATGGTTGATTATTTCCCACTTTTTGAGTTGACCTGAGGCAAAAGGTATAAGGAGGCATCAACAATAAGTAATTACAAATAAGGAACTTTAATGCATATGACTCACACCTTTACTGTTAGTTCTTGTTAATTCTTTAATGCATATGACTCACACCTTTACTGTTAGTTTTGTTAATTACTTTTCTATTAGTTCTTGCTTACCGAGACTAATGCAGAACTCATTTCACTGATAATGTTGTTGTACCATGCAGCCAGAAGAAACAGTTTCAGAGGAAGAAGCAACAAGGAAGAAAATAATTTAGATACAAGAGAAGATAAATGAGAAAAGGAAGAAGGTAAGGAGGAAGGAGACATCAACGATACTACTTTTATGCAGACTTTTTGATTTATGTCTTGATAAAAATACCACACTACAAAACCAGATATTAAAATCACCTACCCGTTAAAAGTGTTAGTATGAGAATGGTAATTAAAGTCACAGTTCCTAAAATGGATTAAAGATATATAACAAAAGCACTGATATTTAGGGAAAAAAATTCTTATATATTTTGAAAAATATTTATTAGTGATACAAACAACCACTCATAAGAGCAAAAAACAATTTTAGTTAAGCAGAGAAATCAATACAAAGAGGTAAGATATACACAAGGGAGAAAAATATCATTTTAAAATCAAGGAGAATAAAGCTATTCTTATACTATGGAATTGAACTCATTTTAAATTCTGGTTAGATTTCCATTCCAAGAGAGCCAGCTTCCTCCTACACCTGTTAATTGTAAGAGAAAGTCAGACTAAGACCTTAATTACTTGTCCATGCAAAAGCAGAGAAAGGGAGGGAAAGAACTAAAAAGAAAACTGAAGGCTTGCATTTGGCCTAAGAATAATTTTAGCAATCCTGCTTCCAAATTACATCTGAAATCTAGGTACCTGTGCCCCCTCTCCTGCCTGTAGTCCATGTCAGGCCACTGTAAAAGACTTTTCAGCCAGGCTACAACAGCAGCCTTTCCACCGGTCTCCTTGCCTTATTTATATATCTATCTATCTTTCATTTTTTTTTAACTGCTCTCCTACATTCACCAAACCAATCACAGATAGAAATGATCTTAAAACATCATTCCTTTGTTTAAGACCCTCAACCACTTCCCGGTGCCCTTGGAGTAAAATCCTCTTTCATGGCCCCCACTGCCTTCAACAGCCTCTCTTCTACATCTCTCCTCACTCAACTTAGCTCCAGGCATACAAGCCTTATGTTATTTTTTAGAACATACCAAAGTTTGCCACCTCTGGAAATCTAGAAGACTTTTTCATCCCTAATCCCACCAGGGTAGGCTCTTCTTCTTCCTTCAAGTCTCAGCCTAGATGAAACCTTGTCAGAGAGACCTCCCCATCTGCCATATTTAAAGTAAAATTTCTGGGGCACTTGGGTGGCTCAGTGGGTTAAGCCTCTTCCTTCGGCTCAGGTCATGATCTCAGGGTCCTGAGATCGAATCCCACATTGGGCTCTCTGCTCAGCAGGGAGCCTGCTTCCTCCTCTCTCTCTGCCTGCTGCTCTGCCTACATGTGATTTCTCTCTGTCAAATAAATAAATAAAAATCTTTAAAAAATTAAACAATAACAAAAAATAAAGTAAAATTTCCCTCCTCACCCTTATCAGCATACTACTTGATTCGTTCATTGCATATTTTAAAAAGCTGATAATTTCATTAATTTCTTGAGTGATTTCTTTCTTATCTTCCTTTCTACTTTCCTCTCTTCCCTTTTTCTCCAACTTATTCTTTGGACTAAGGATCCTTAGAGGGAAAAGTTCTTCTATTTTCAATTAACTATTGAAAACCCAGAGTATAGTACAGTATATGTAGTAGACACTGGCCCCATCTGCTGAATGAATTAACTTCCAAGACATGGCCAACTGGAAAAAAAAAATGAGGCCAGCATGTCGTAGTCCTGAATCAACTCTTAAAGACAAAACTGATTTCCAATTTGCCAGGGTAGAATATCCTTTCAAAGACATATCCCAATAACTAATATCTTCTGAAGAAATGATGCCACACATGAAATCAATCTCGGAATACAGTTAGATGTGCCCATTTGCTTAGTCTTTTTTTTTTTTTTTTNTTTTTTTTTTTTTTTTAGATCTCTGAGACATGTTTTTTTTTTTTTAAGATTTATTTATTTATTTGACAGATAGAGATCACAAGTAGGCAGAGAGGCAGGCAGAGAGAGAGGAATCAGGCTCCCTGCTGAGCAGACAGCCTGTTATGGGGCTCCATCCCAAGACCCTGGGATCATGACCCGAGCCGAAGGCAGAGGCTTTAACCCACTGAGCCACCCAGGTGCCCCTCATTTGCTTGTTCTTAGAATAAAAATTTAATCCCCAAATAAAAATTTAATCCCCATCTTCTTCAGGAAAAAAAAAAAAAAAAAAGCCTTCACTCATTTAAACTTTTACTGAACTAAAATGATCAGATTTATGTAATTTCTGAAGCCTGGACTTAACTTCCATGATGTCTTTTCCCTCCTTACTAATGTTATATCCCATACATAATAATAATTTTTATTGCTAATAATAATCTCCTTTTAAAATTATCATATTCATCAAATTTAGGACATCATTAATTGGGAGGAGTTAGTGTTATTCTATTATTTTATGTAGCATTAAGGAATTTAGTAGGACACTCCATCTCCAGCTGGGACCCAAAGGGCTATAGCCTCAGTATACTAAGCACATACCCCAGGGAGAGTGACTGCAGGGGAACTCGTACATCTCAACCCTGGCTTCAAGTAAAGGGAGGAGAAAATAACTCCCTGAGAATTTGAACCACAGATGATACTCACGCAGGTCTGAACTATAAATTCACACTCCTGGTGTGGTTCAAAAATTGCTAGGCAAAGAATTTCATGTCAGGTGGTCTCAGGTCAATACCATCCCCAGGGAATGGCAGAAGCAAATGCAAATCCTGCCAATAAGAATCAATTTCAACCCAGATTCATGGCAATTCTAAGATGGCACTGATTGTAGGATTTATCTTAATTTCAGCATCATGAGAGAAAAATGTGCACCTTAGAATCAATGGAATTCTGTTTATTATCTTATCATTCATTGCTGGTTTCACAGGATTTTTCTCTGAATTGTGATTAGATGCCCAGAGATCTCACTGAGCATTGTTAGGCTGCAGAATATACTGGAATTTCTGTGCATACAATCATACCACCTGTGAATAATGACAATTTTCCTTCTTGTTTTCCAACCCTTCTAGCTTTTCTTTTTTATTTTTTAAAAAAGATTTTATTTATTACTTATTTGACAGAGACAGAAAGAAAGAGGGAACACAAGCAGGGGGAGAAGCAGGCTTCCCACTGAGGAGGGAGCCCCATGTGGGGCTTGATCCCAGGACTCTGGGTTCAGGATATGAGCCAAAGGCAGATGCTCAACCAACTGAGCCCCCTCTCTTCAGATCGCCTAAGTCTTCCACCTTTTTTGTTTTATTTTTATTACTCTTATTTGTTCCAGTGGGTGTTATCTACTGGATAACACTAAATAGAAAAAAATGCTAGCAGATATACCCATTTCATTCATTATTTTAAGGAATGCTTTGCACGTTGCACCTTAAGTATGATGTTCGCTTATGTATCTCTGATTTATACTCTATATTGAAAAAATTCTTACTCCTAGCTTTGAGTTTTTGTCATAAATCATATGTAATTAATGCTTCTCCCCCACCCATCAATACAAAACATTTCTTCCTTTCAATCTCTTAATGTGCTTAACTATATTAATAGATTTCCTGATGTTAAACCATCTTTGCACTCATGGGAGAAAGCTAATAAGTTCAAGATTTTTTTTTAATCTTATGATATTTTCACATGGATTTGTTTAGCTAATAATTTATGTAAACCGTTTGCATCTATGTTTTAGGTAAAACTGCTTAATAATTTTCCTTTCTCATATATCTGCCTGATTGTGGCTTCAAAGTTACACTGGCATCATAAGATGAATTCACAACTTTCTCTCTATATATATTTTTCCCATTCTCTGAAACAATTTCTATAACATAGCTTCATCTCTTTCTTGAAGTTTTGGGAGAACTTGTCTGTAAAATTCTGTGGACTCTGTGGGTTTTGCTGTGCATGTAAGGGCAGAACATGGAACTTTAGATTCAATTCTTCTAGTGACTGTAGATCTACTCAAGTTTTCTTCCTCCAAAGTAAGAGTTTAAGCCTATATTTTTCTAGGATATTATCTATTTCATTAGGGTTTTAAAATTTATTGGTATAAACCCGTACTTCTTAAAAATAGTTTTTTTTAATCTGTAGCAATTTGTCCTTATTTATTCATTTTTTAATTCTTGATTAAATTTGCAAAATACTTGGTTATTTTTCTTTTTGAAGAATTGGTTTAGGGATTTGTTAAGTCTTCTGCTTTCTTACATTTATTTTCTATTCAGTTATTTATTATTCCCTCCTTATACTTCTTTTATTCTGCTATTCTTTTTCTAAATTCTTATTTTGGATGCTTAATTAATTTTCAGCAATTTTTCATTGCTTTTACTGGACACCCTAATGGTTTCATTGGACTAAGATTCATTTTTAATGTGAAATCCTCAGTTTTGGAGAGAGCGCACTCTGTCATTCACAGTTTAATAAATTCAGGCCCTAAGTGTACCTGAGGGTGAGGCCAGAGGTTTTCATTTCTATAAGGAAATCAGAAACTAGGCAGAAGTAGAAAAGTTTAATTTGTCACCCGATGTTGGTGGATATAGTCTTTCTCTGGTCTACCTTTCCACTGAGAAAAACTGGAAAAGAATTTAAGTTCAAAACTTCATTATCTGTTTGCTCAAAGATTAACTATTCAGAGAAGACTTCTCTGAATCACCTCTCTAAATAGTACCCTCTATGACTCTAAAAGAATATTTTATATCCCCAAATAACATTTGCCCAGCTGGTATATTAGATAGTTTGTTATTTGCGGTTGTCTTTACCCCTCCCCTCCGCCCCCCTTGAAAGAATTTAACTTCCAAAGAGGAAGGACTATATTTGATTGGATGCTTGCCTGATCCTTAAGCAAGATTTCTCATTTTATTTGTCAGAAATATTTTAAGGCAAAAGCAAGGAACTGACAGAGAACATAGTTATTACTCTCCTTTGAACTATGGAGCTTAGCCATCACAAATTATTCTCAGAGGACACCTTTGTGGGTATGAAATATATCATATGAACAGAAGTATACTAAAAACACACAGGTACAGTATAAAAAAGAATTATGCAGTGAACACCATGTCACTCAGTTGACCACAACTGAGGTCAAGAAATAGAATACGACCACAACTACAGAAACCCCCACTATGTGTCTCACTCTTATTACCCACACCTCCTCTCCCCAAGGGTAACTATCATTCTGACTTATCAAAATGTCCTTATTTTCCTTATGGCTCTACCAACAATGTATAATGTTCCAAACAATATAGTTTAGTGTTTCCTAATATCCAAATACTCGTATATTCATAACATTAAAATACTATATCAGATTATAACACATATTCAATTATCACATATATTCAATAAAGTCTGTCACTGTTTAGAAATCAATGGATCTGATGAATATTACATATTGTCCTAAATTAACCACTGACACTCCCAGAAATTTAATAAAAAGGGACAGTTCTAAAAAAAAATACTAAGCAACACATAATAAAGATTTTGAATTGTTGTACAGATGTGCTTTTTAGTTATATTTTTGTCTTCCAAATCATGGAGCACAACCCTACTGATGAGGAGCCCCAGCAAGAGGAGAAAAAAACCACAGAATAAAATGTATCCTTAGAGGGGCACCTGGGTGATTCAGTCGGTTAACCATCTGCCTTCGGCTCAGGTCATGATCTCGGGGTTCTGGGATCAGGCCCCACATCGGGCTATCCACTCAGCAGGGAGTCTGCTTCTCTCTTCCATTCTACTTCTGTGTGCTCTCTCTTTCTCTCTCAAATAAATAAATAAAATCTTTGAAAAAATTGTATCCCCAAAGGTAGTGATCCGAAGGGGCATGTGCACCCTAACATTTATAGCAGCAATGTCCACAACAGCTAAACTATGGAAAAAGCCAGATGTCCATCAGCAGATGAATGTATAAAGAAGATGTGGTATAGATATACAATGGAATACTATGCAGCCATCAAAAGAAATGAAATCATGCCATTTGCAATGAGGTAGATGGAACTAGAGGCTATCACGTTAAGCGAAATAAGTCAATCAGAGAAAGATGATTATCGTATGATCTCACTGATATAAGGAATTTGAGAAACAAGACAGAGGATCATAGGGGAAGGGGGGGAATGAAACAAGATGAAACCAGAGAGGGAGACAAGCCATAAGAGACTCTTAATCTCAGGAAACAAACTGTGGGTTGCTGGAGGAGAGGAGGGTGGAAGGGATGGGGTGGTTGGGTGATGGACATGTGGAGGGTATGTGCTATGGTGAATGCTGTGAATTGTGTAAGACTGATGAATCACAGACTGTACCCCTGAAACACGTAATATATTTTATGTTAAGTTTTTTAAAAAGTAACAAAAAATAATTTTAAAAAAAGTAACCCTTAATCTTATACAAAATGTTCATTTAGTGTTAGAGAACCATGAATTGACTTAATGGGGAAATATTATCATCAGATATCAAATATGTTTCAGCCTTAAGAAACTATTTTATTAACAAGGCAGGAAATAACAGATGTTGGCGAGGATGCGGAGAAAGGGGAACCCTCCTACACTGTTGGTGGGAATAAGCTGGTACAGCCACTCTGGAAAACATGGAGGTTCCTCAAAAAGTTAAAAATAGAGCTACCCCATGACCCAGCATTCGAACTACTGGGTATTTTCCCTAAAGATACAAATGTAGTGATCTGAAGGGGCACATGCACACAAATGTTTATAGCAGCAATGTCCACAATAGCCAAACTATGGAAAGAACCTAGATGTCCATCAACAGATGAATGGATAAAGAAGAAGTTTTATATACACACACACACACACACATATATACACATACATACATACATATACAATATATATATTATATATGCACATACATATATATGTATGTGTATATATATACACACACACACACACATACACAGAAGAAGTGATACACACACACACAGACACAGACGCACACACACACACACACACACAGGAATACTATGCAGCCATCAAAAGAAATGAAATCTTGCCATTTGCAATGACATGGATGGAACTAGAGGGTATTATGCTGAGCAAAACAAGTCAATCAGAGAAAGACAATTATCATATGATCTCCCTGATATGAGAAATTTGAGAGGCAGGGTGGGAGGTTGTGGGGGTAGGGAAGGAAAAAATAAAACAAGATGGGATCAGGAAGGAGACAACCATAAGAAACTCTTAATCTCAAAAACAAACTGAGGGTTGCTGGGGGGGGGGGGGGGTAGGGAGAGGGTGGCTGGGTTATGGACACTGGGGAGGGTATGTGCTATGATGAGTACTATGAAATGTTTAAGCCTGATGATTCACAGACCTGTACCCTAGGGCAAATAATACATTATATGTTAATAAAAATAACTAAAAAAAGAAACTATTTTATTTTCACTACCCATCTAGAACAGTCTAGAAAATCTTTTGAATTAGCAAATATAAGAAGAGTACAACTAAAATTACAACTTTTCCAGAATATTAGCTAAGCTGTATAATATCCTGGAAGCTACTTAAAAATACACATACACACCCACACACCTTTATACTTAATACTATCAATTTGAAGGCCATATATGATGAAACAATTTAAAATTACTAGCAACTTAAAATAAAAAACTCAAACCTTTCAAGTTCTTTCTCTTGTCCTCCAAAAGCAATCACAGTTCTGATGGCTGCTAAGACCTCTTCAGCTACTGCTCCAGCTTTTGCATATGCCAAGAGTTCTTTATCAGTAAACGAAGACAGTAGCTGTTGAAAAATGCAATTTCAGATCACTTAAAATTTTTTACCTTTTGTAAAATAAAAACAAGTATATACACCAATGATCCGTGCATGTTAACGTATGTATAGAATAAAGTCTGCCTTTCATTCATCTCTGGTCATGATGTTCTAAGTACACGTAGTCACACTGTTAGCACTTCAAATTCTTTCTGGACTGAGATGGTATGCAATATTTAAACGTTTTTATTTTCTCACCAACTACCTCATGGATCTTCATCTGAAGAAATAAAACTGGGGCTTTGGGGAGATCTTCAAGTTCAGAAAAGGAGGTATATAGGATAATCATAAAATGAGAAAAAAGGCATTAATTACATAAAGGAAAGACAGTATGAGCTGAACACAGCAATTGCTAATTGCTCTCTGGATTGGAAGTGTCAAGGTGGGAGACCAGAAAAATGCAGAGGATCAAGCACAGAGTGGTACTTGGATTTCAAGAAGGTTTCCCCGGGGGCCAGAGAAAGGAAAGAGTTCCCCTTTGCTGGTGCTCTTGAGCAAAACAGTGTCCTCAGCCACCAGGGAGATCTTTATTTTATGCTCACTCCATGATCCTTCTGCTTGGTTCCTGAGCATTTATTCTGTGGAACAGTCCTGGGTGGATTCTATACACGGGATCTCATTTACTCTTCTCAGCTGCACAGTGAGATAGGTATTATTTTTCCCCACTCTGTATATAAGGAAATGAAGAGGCGAAAAAGTTAAACTAATTTGCTAATGAGTGAAATAGCTAAGATTCAAAGCTGAGTCCATATGGTGGCAAAGCCTGAATTAACAGACAGGAAGGAGCGTGAACTTCTCTTGATCTTCAACCAGGCACTGACGTATGAATGCGCTCCTGGAGGGCCCTGTTGTGAAAATGGGATCAACTAGCACAGGCAAAGGACTCTGTTACTATTTGTCCCTGGAATGCCTATGTCAAGTCAGACACTAAAGGGTTACATGCAAGCGATTAGTAATAAAGTTTGAATTAAACAGTATTACACTTTTTTTAAAAAAAGATTTTATTTATTTAATGGACAGAGATCACAAGTAGGCAGAGAGGCAGGAGGAAGCAGGCTCCCTGCTGAGCAGAGAGCCCTATGCAGGGCTAGATCCCAGGACCCTGGGATCACGCCTGAGCTGAAGGCAGAGGCTTTAACCCACTGAGTCACCCAGGCACCCAGTATTACACTCTTTCAATAGGTAATTTAGAGGCATTTGCAGACTCATTTATACAAGGAGTATCAGTAAAAAGCACAAAGTTGTTTTGATTTTAACAGCACTTTTCTTTTGCTGTGTGTTAACATAAAAAGAGCTGTGACAGATTTAAGAATGAAACTCATGATGTTGAGTTAACAAATGTGTGACTACTGTGAAGAAACTGTGGTTAATCTGATTGCCTTAGGAGCCTGTTATGCAGAAGTTGACAGACCACTGGTAAGACCAGCTGAGATGAGAGCAACTCGGGAAGAATTCTTACAGGAGGCACAAAAGAGGTCAAAAGTGAAAAAAGGAACCTCTTTGATAATGCACCCCACAGTCTCCCCACCTCCACCCCCGTCATTCTCAGGCTGACATTTAATGAACATGTGTCCCATGAGAAGGCAGGATTCCTGAATGCACATGCTTGAAAAGGAGGACACTTCTCCTTTTCCTTAGATCCATTCAGCTTATTCCATCCAACCTAAGTACCCTGAGATATCTTAATCCCTTAACCTTACATACACCCCAAGACAGCCCTTCAGGGAGGCAGATTTGAGAAATTTTCACCTCCTTGTTTGGCATCCTGTAATAAAACCCTTTCTCTCTGCCACAAAAGTGGTGTCCGTGTTTGGCATGCAGGAAATCAGGCAAAGACCCTCGCCCAGTAAGAAAAATAGGTGGGTGAAGGCAATGAGCATTTATTAATCATGTTCTATGTGCAAATATGGTGCCACATGTACCTACCTTTAGTACCCAAAGCAAAAACCCAGTTATGCACTAGACCTGCCTGATGTCTCAAAACAACTCAAAGGAAGCAGAATTTGCCACCCCAAATGTGCCCTTTTGGCATATTATTTTCTTGGACTGAAGGCTTAGATCTGTTTTAATTTAGGGTTAGTTTCAATACTCCTTCCACCTGCCTCTCTTTCTCCTCTTCTTTTGAGACTCCACTGGTGACAAATGTTGAAATTTCTGCTATTGTTCCACAGGTCCCTGAAGCTCTTTTCGTTTCTGTTTCAGAGTTCAGTGAATTCTGCAGTTCTCTCTCCAGGTACAGATTCTCTTCTAAGTGGTCTATCATGACCACTCAGGGAGACCGAGACCGTCCACCAAGACCCCAAGTTTTGCTGTTGTATCCTTCTGTTTTCTCATTTTATTTCATCTTGTTTTTAGACCTTCTACTTCACTGCTGATATTGCCTATTTTTTTTCTTTTATTTCGAGAGAATGTGTAATTGATTCATGAAGCATTTTTATGGTGGCTGTTTAAAAAATCCATGTCCAATAATTCTAATGTGATTTATCTCAGTGTGTCAGTTCATTGTTTTTTGTTTCTTGGGTTTTTTGGGTTTGTTTTTTGCTTTTTTTTCTCATTGAAGCTGTGCTTTTCTTGGTTCTTTGTATGGCAAGTGATATTTTACTGTATCCTGGACATTTTGTCTGGTATGTTAGGAGAAAAGGTCCTGTTTAAATCTTTAATTTTTAACAAGTGGTTACCTTGTATGGGCTTAGCCTGAAATTCCTGGCCTACTTTTGTGAGCTGTGTTTCCAGTGGCAGTTTCCTGTTCAGAGGCTTTGTGTGTTATTTTGGTTAGCATGGTGTATCTCAAGCTGCTAGCACTCCTAATGGCCTCTGTTTCTGCCATCTGAGGGAGTGGAAATACATTCTAGAAGGTTAGACTACTGGCCATCTCTCTCAGTGGAGGCAGTGTGTGGTGGTTCCCCTTGCCTGTGCCCTCTAGCTGCTGCCCTGGCTCTGGGTGGAGAGCACACTCGTCTGAGGCTGCTTACTGGACAAGAAACCTTGCTGTGACTGGGTTCCTTCCTGTTCCTCCTTCTTGCCCTTGTTAGAGAGCAGAGCCTCGGCCTCACAGGGACAAAGAAGCTTCCAGACTGGACCACATTTCTTTTTTATCATGACTGCTAACCAGAGAACTTATTAGTTTGAAAGCACACCCAAACTTCATGGCAGAGTGAGGATTAAAACTGAGGTCTCCAGCAATAAGCCTGTGGCTCCTTTTATTAAATAAATAGTATCTGAAGCAATACATAGTTACTAAAAGATTAACTTTCTGTTTTCCTAACTTAACTAGAACAGACATCAATACATATTAAATAGTTCTTTAATAAATACTGACATGAAGAGTTTGTCACCTGACTTGCTTGATGTTCCAGTATACAGAAAAATCAATTAACACACAAGATTTTGCCAAGTATTTCAGCTAATAGAGAAATGCTGTTTAACCACCAAGATTATCATTTACATGTTGTTGCTCTCAACAAATTAACCAAGTCCTCAGAACCTCAATTTCTTCCTGTGTTAAATAAAATAATACCTACATTTCAGAAGGATAATACATACTTTCCTGACATATTAGATGCTCAATAAATGGTAGTTACTGTTTGTAATATCAAAATAATATCCATCCTACAGGGTAAAATTTTTACAACTTAATATTTACCATCTGATTTATTTTATGTTAGGCTTGACTACGGTTGGCCCACCAGTATCTTATGTTTTGGCCAAATGAGTTTGTAGTGCTTTCTCTAAGTTGTGGTAAACGCAACAGAAACTACAAACTTGACCAATCTCTACTGCCATGCGCTCTTACATCAAATCAATTTAAAATGAATACCGCACCCAGCCTTGAAAGGGAAAATAAGTTTTATAAGATCATCAGAGACCTGCATGCAGAGGTGGGGAGGGCCAATGATACTCCTTTGCCTTTGTGATTGGGAGTAAAAACTGCAGGCTTGGAATACGTGCACAGGGACTAGAAAGTATTTATTTCTTCAAAATTTTCATACCAATAGATTTAAATATGTTAAACACTAGAGAACCATTTATAACACTGACAGAACCGTTAAATCAATTTACAAATTAAATGAAACCTAAAAAAAACCTTAAAATCAATGTTAGTTGAACGGGACATTTATGTTGTTCAGTGAACTTAAATCTCTGTGAATATGGGATTTTCTACAAAGCACACAGCTCTTTAAGAGTTGAGCGTGCCTGAACGTCTGGGTGGCTCAGTCAGTTAAGCATCAGCCTTTGGCTCAGATCATGATCCCGGGGTCCTGGGGTTGAGTCCCACATCGGGCTCCTTGCTCAGCAAGGAGTCTGCTTCTCCCTCTGTCTGCTACACCCCCTGCTTGTGCTTTCCCATCTCTCTCTTTCTCTGACACAGAAATAAATAAAAAATCTTAAAAAAAAAAAAAGAGTTGGGTGTGCCTTCGGGCCCCTGGGTGGCTCAGTTAGCAAATGCCTGCCTTTTGCTAGGTCATGATCCCAGAGTCCTGGGACTGAGCCCCCCGTGGGTCTCACTGCTCAGCAGGGAACCCATTTCTCCCTCTCCCTCTACCCCTATTCCACTGCCCCTCTCCCCTGTTTGTACTCTCTCTCTTTTGCTTGGCCTCTCTCTCTTTCAAGGAAATACATAAAATGTTTAAAAAAAAAAAAAAANAAAAAAAAAAAAAAAGAGTCAAGCATGCCTTTTATATGAAGTCAGGCGATGAGATATGAGAGCTACTTCTTTCTAGCTCAACCCTTTCTCAAATAACCACATGATCCAGGACACCATGGAGTCCAGACAGGGGTAGGACTTAGGGAGTTGACAGGCACTTATTCCCACTGATTTTGAACAAAGGATTTATGCCTGGGTGGCTCAGTCATTAAGCAGCTGCCTTCAGCTAGGGTCATGATCCGAGTGTCCTGGGATGGAGCCCCGCATCAGACTCTCTACTTGGCGGAAGCCCACTTCTCCCTCTCCCACTTCCCCTGCTTGTGTTCCCTCTCTT